GGTCGTTCTCTCTCTCTCTCTCTCTCTCTCTCTCTCTCTCTCTCTCTCTCTCCGTTACCTGGTATTTTCGCAGCCTGTTGACCTCGTTGTCGTGTCCCGGCTTCTTTCGTTTTGCAATCGTCTCGCATTCTCTGGCCTGGCGCTGTTCATCTTTGTTTACTTCACGCCTTCAACATCCTTCTTTGACATCCTCACCTTTTCGCCCTTTTCCATTTCTCGAACTCCTGAGCTCTTGGTTTCTTGATAATTTGGCATTTAACGCCCCTCTTCCTCCATAACTTATTCGTCGCTAGGCGCAGGCACATACGGCAATATTATATACATGGCAACTGCCTCCGTGGACCCCGCGAGGCGGAGGCGGGTTCTCAAGGTCATCGTATTGTCTCTGTTGCTCGACCTGGTTTGTTCCCCCCGGCTCATACTGCTCGTTGACCTCTGCTGACACGCTCCTGCAGATATCGTTTACCTTCATTTTGCCTCTTTTCCCCAGCCTGCTCGAGTTCTACCGCAATGCAGAGACCGCCCTCGACAACGGCAAATCGCAGTCGCCCACACTGCTCGCCAGTATCCTCGACTACCTCAATGCTTATAAAGCCTCGTTTGCCCGCCCAATCGACTCGCGATATGATATTGTCTTGCTAGGAGGCGCTTTGGGAAGTTTATTCTCGTAAGGAAGCACCGTAAAACAGCCGCCGCGGCACATCCTAGCGGCCAGATCCTTGTCCTCTGCTGACTGAAATAACCTTTCTACGACTCTTTGTGCAGACTCCTACAAGCTGTCGCATCTCCCGTTATTGGCCACATGTCGGACCGCTATGGCCGCCGCACCGCGCTGCTCGCGAGCATGATGGGAAACGTCATCTCCGTCCTACTGTGGGTGATGGCCGTCGACTTCCGCACATTTTTGCTCTCCCGTGTCGTTGGTGGCCTGTCCGAGGGCAACGTGCAACTTGCCATGGCCATCGCCACCGACATTTCTGACGATTCGACCCGCGGTTCCACCATGGCCCTGATTGGTGTCTGTTTTTCGGTCGCCTTCACCTTTGGCCCGGCCCTGGGCGCTTGGTTGAGCACCATTACAATGTTCAAGACAAACCCTTTCGCTGCCGCTGCAGGCTTCTCTCTGTTTCTCATCGTGGCCGAGACAATCTACCTCTACCTATATCTACCCGAAACGCTTCCGACCAGTGCCAGCACCGAGACGGTGACCGAGGGAGTCGAGGAAACCAAGGAAACCAAGGAAACCAAGGAAACAAAAACCACCAAGATGCTAGGGCCCGGCAATGCAGCGTCTGGATCTGTCCTAATTCACGACCGAACTAACTCGCACTTCATGCTCAACGCCGTGCATTTTGTCTTCCTCCTCTTCTTCTCTGGTATGGAGTTCTCACTCCCTTTTATGACTTACGACCTCTTTGGCTACACCTCTGCCAAGAACGGGAGACTGCTCGGCTTTGTCGGCCTTGTCGCGTCCATTCTGCAGGGTGGCGTGACCCGCCGCCTTCCACCCCTCGCTTCGGTGCGTATTGGCATTGTTGCGTGTCAAATTGCATTCTTATTGCTTGGCAGCCTTTCTACGGTAGGAAATCTCTACCTGGCTGCTGCGTGTCTTGCAACCACATCAGCCACTGTTGTCACCGGCCTCAACGCCCTGAGCAGCTTTGAAGCGCACTCGGGTGAGCGCGGCGGGAAACTTGGTATTCTCCGTTCGTGGGGCCAAGTTGGGCGTGGTCTGGGCCCTGTTCTGTTTACCAGCATCTACTGGTGGGCGGGCCGGGAAGTTGCCTATGGCGCGGGCGCCATCGGTATGTCGGCTGTTCTTCTCTTGTCCGTCTTCGGTCTCAAATCACCCCCGCGTGCTACCAAGGCAAAAGCGAAAACGCAGTAAATGGGCGCTGGTAAGGACGGAGGGATGCTCGCGAAACATGCTGTGCAGTTTTGCTTAGTCGCACAGCTAAAGAAATGCGTCAAGACACTCCTTGTCTTCCTTCCAGATATACATTTAAGGCTGGCTGGCTCTATTGGCTTAGTCCAGGCAAGACTTATACATGCACGTTGACTCAACTGGTCTACGATGCCCCATGGCGATCTTTTTTCTTGTTCAATAGCGAGTTTTGCTTAACTTTATTGCGTTTTTCTTGTCTTTTCTTCTTTTGCTCTGTGTTTTCAGTCTTTGCTTAGATTGGTACGGAACACAACATTCTCACTCAAACGAGGTGGTCTTGGGTTTTCTACAGAGAGTTTGTACCCGTGGGTTTTTTATTTAATGTATACTTCAAACAAGTTAGCGACTTTTGGGCTCATAGAGCCGCGTCTACTGCGCCGCCGTGCGGCCTTTGTTGTGCCGTATGTGCTCCTCATGGAGGCTAATGACACGCGGGACAATCAATGTCTCGATCTCGGCATTGGCCGCCGCCTCGGCCTCTGACAAGCGCACCCAATCCACGTGTTGTGGGGTCACAAAGACTACTTCTTGTTTGCGGGTGTTCAGGATGTTACCAATTACAAGGTGGTGCTGGTAGCGTTCGAGGGCGCCCTTGGCCTTTCCGATTAACAGCTCCGGGTCTGTCTCGAGCTTAAAGGAGATCATCATGCTCTCGGGAGACCAGTTGTCGACCAAGCTCTTTAAAAACTTGGGCACTGGATCCAGGTCAATAACCAGACTCTTGCTACGAGGCACCTTGGGGGATCTAAGTTGTGTCAGCGCGCAATCTGCAAATGAGACGAGAGAAAGGTACGCCAAAACTCACGAGTCGAAGTTGTCGAATGTTTCTTCGTCCTCGTCCACGGCGAAGCTGCCTAGCGGCTTGCCTCCTGACTTGTCCGTATTGATATCGGTGCTCTGAATTTTGTGCTCCGCCATACGGTCAGGCTGGAAGCTGTTAGTTACAGGCCACAAGAGCGAAGGAGAAACAACCAGGAAAGGGAAACACGAACTGGGAGGAAAAAGTCCGATACGGCAGCTGCTAGATATAGCAACCCATTGGGACCGAGACGGTGCATGATGCGACTAATCGCCCGCAGCTCATACATGTAATCGGTTATGGTCACAAAAGACAGTGCCAAAAGACGGTCTTTGGCAGCACGGTACCGGCGCCAAACACCCAACATGGAGTCGGCGTCCTCGTCGCGAGACCGAACGCCATGGCCGTTCTCATCTTCTGTCAAGAAATCCAAGAAGCTGTGGGTAGCATGCGAGTAGTGGCGGCTATAAGGCTGCAAACTATAGCCGGAGTGGCAGTTAGTAACTGTGACAAAAAAACGCAGCATGAAGAACTTTCCCCGTCACCTTCCCTGCTTCACATACCTGAATTGCCGGTGCAAGAAGATTACGGCATAATCGGCCTTGTCGTCCAAAAAGTACTCGGCGCTTGTTGATCCGCGTGTACCGGCGGAGAAATTGTCAATGAAGCGGACCGTCTGCTTCTCTAGAGGAACCTATTTTGTTGTTCGGCCGTTAGGACGCTGCTGATTTCAAGAGCCAACCACTACAAAAGCTCTTACAGTTGTGCCCCCGGAGGTCACAAGGACGATACGACGGTTTGCCTTTGCGTGCCTGTCAACAAAGGCCTCAACCATTGCCATATGCTGCTCCAGATCCTTGGGCGGCGGGTTGGTGCTAAAGTAGCGGTCCTCATCTGACTGGGCAGGGCCGGTGACCGTGGCGGCGGCATTGGGCGCAGCCATGTTTGACTTTTTCGAAAGAAACGGAGGCGGAAAGGATTCGACCAAGAGACCAGACCAAAAACAGCAAGGAATGTCTTCTGCAGGATGACACATGTGTCCCGGGTCAGCCAGAGGTGTCAACGGCAGACGAGGTAAACAGAAAAAGCGGGCTTAACACGTGAGGCAGTAAAATCAAGTGGTTTTTGTAAAATCACGTCACCTTATATATGCAGCTATAGTTAACAAGGAGAGACACAATTGGCCAGAAGTGGACAGGTGAGAACGCAGAAAGGCGATGCGGTGCTTAGAGCAGCCTCCGGACGACGATACGCGTCGTAGATGAACTGCTATCAAGGGTAAGTATCAACTTGTCGTCCCAACGACTCGATGGCGTAGTCTTTAATTCTGCCACGGGGATTTTGTCTCGCGGGTTGCCGTGTCGTCGGTCGGCTAGCCCGGCAAAGAGTCACAACAGAGCCGGTGGAGAGGGCCGAGGCTTTGACGTCGTTGGCGCGGGGAGTCACGTGACCGTAGGCGGGTAAGCTGTTGAATATGGATCACAGGAAAACGAACCGGCATGCGACATACACTTCGATGTCCTCGAAATGTGTTTACGAAAGCGGGTTAGAATTTTAATCGGAATTATCCGAGACAATGCTTCGTTGGGGGTACTGGGATCTCCCTACGAACTGAAAATCTAGCACCTTCGGTTTGACCACAACAAGCTGGTCCAGCGGTCCTGTCGACATAACAGCTGGAATAATACACTGGGAGGCAACTGCACACACAGCTAATACTACGAGAAGCGGATGAGACTCTGTATCTGCATTACATTTCCTTAATATCGCCCTTACAGGAGCCAACTGAGACACCTAAAATTTCGTAACTAAAACTTTATTAACACACTTTATTACGGACTGTTACAAGGAAGGGGCTTTGGGGATCACGTGAACTAAACTAAGGGGACGCAGACCTGAAAAGGTACCCAACAGATGACGTTGGAGATGCCATCTCCTTTCGACCTATAAACACATTGTGCACGATTTACAAGACGGCCGGCAGACACAATCATAAAGAGTGTTACTTGTATGTATTGTTTCGAAGTGCATCATTAAGGTCTTGCTATCCCCCAAGTGCACGTCACACTGTAACAATCCGAAGCACAAACGAAAGACGCGAACACGTCATGACTTTCAAAAAAACGACGAAAAAAAACCGAAATGATCGCTATCCCAAACAGTCCTGTCCACCGGTTTCCCAAAACGCCGTGTAAGTATGCAGTCCCTCTAGTATTCAAGTCGTCCCGCCTTTCGTTGGTCCTACTGAAGTGACCTATTTATGCGATCGCAGTGAGCTTCTTCGCTAGGGCGCCGACGTTGGCAGCCGATTCAGTTGCAGCTTTCCCCGCGAGGAATTGTGCATACTGAGACTGCTTGTTGTGGATGCCGCACTCAGTCTTGCTGCGACCCTTCCACCGACCAGCACGCTCGTCCTCGCCCTCGCCGACCGGGCTGGTCGAGTGCCAGTCGCCGATAGACTTGTATCCGCGATCGAGTAGAACATTGTACGGAACGTTGTGCTCGCGCACGTACGCCTGGACCTGGCCAAACGACCAGTTGGCGAGCGGGTTTATCTTGTAGATGCCCCGCTCGTCGTCTATCTCGATAATGTTCAGGTCACCGCGCTGGCCACCTTGTGACCGACGGCGGCCCGTTAGCACGGCAACCACCTCAAGGTTGTCGTAGGCGCGCTCCTGCGGCTCCACCTTTGCGAGGTAGTCGTACATCTCTTCGGAGACCTCATACAGGCGGCCGTACGTAGCTTCGAACTCGGCGGGCGTCTCGAAGCCATCAGGCTTGAAGCTGTGAATCTTGACGCCAGGGTATCGTGCCTGCACACGCTCGATGAGGTCGTATGTCTCGTTAAAGTGGTACAGCGTGTCGAGGAAGATGAGATCCACGCTGTGCTTGTTGACGGGCTCGGCATCCTTGGGCACGCCCTCCTGCTCCAGCTTCGCCAGAAGGTCGATCGTTACGAGACCCGTGAGGCCGAAGGCGGTTGTCTGATAGAGGTTGGGGAAGAAGATCTTGGCAAAGCGCAGAATGTCCATGGGCTCCATGTTCTCCAGCTGTTTGTTCAGGTGTCTCAGGTGCTCGGGTGTCAAGGACACACGCGGGAGCCGTGCCGTCGATGCGGATGCGGACGGCGGTGCGGAGCCATAGCCGGACTCCAGAGACATGGCATCGTCAGCCTGCTTGGACACCTTAGTGGGCTCGAGCCGCGGTGAATTGTCCATCGACACGCCCGTTGATGCTTCAGTTGATACGATGGGAGCCTCCATGGCCATTGTGATTGATGACTGTCTTTGAAGGATTTTGTGCAGTGCACAAAAGGCGTCGAGAGCTGCAGGTACGAGTGTATCTCGGGTGTAAAATGTTGTTGACGTGTCTTGGATGTTGGATGAAAAGGGCAGAGAGACGAGCACAATTGAAAGGATGATGCGAAGACTCTACGACAAGAGGGCAGTGATAGGCGGCGAAAGATTAGTCCACAATCACGCAATAGCGCAAGGGCAAAGGCGAGAAGCGATCGAAGAAGGGTGTCACTAGGGGATGTTGTTTAAGAGTGACGTCTATGAAGAGGCGTGATGTTGGCTAGTATCATGGACGGGAAGGAAAGGGGAGGGAAAAGATATAACAAGAAACGACCTGATGATTCTTTTAAAGCCCGTAGCCTTTTCGACTGGATTTCTAAGGCGAATGCCCGAGAAGACTTTTGATTTCTTGGGCATTTTGTTTTGGCTCTTCAACTTTGCGTCAACGGGACCGACAGCCGGCCTCGACTCTCCACGCCCCTAAATGGTTCCGTGCGGCAAGTGTCAATATAAAACCGGCATCCTTCCGCCCTCAAATTGCTCCCCCGGTTTCAATTGTTCTTATTTTTGCTTGTACCTCACTATTCATTACGTTTTCCTTGCAGCAATCCAAACAACCCTGTCCACACGCCGCATCCATGAAGCCTCTCACCCCGCGCCGCCCACGAGTCGACCGTTTTTAATTGTCAAGGCTTTTGCCGGTGATGCCAGAGCCCAGCCAAAGGGATTCAAGCATCGGAGGAGGCGTCGGCGAAGGCGTGGACAGTGAGCCGTGTTCTGGACACTGTGTATTGTAAAGAAATGACACAGAAGCATACAGTGCCGTTAACCGCGCCATGTCGTAGCTGATGTCGACATCCGGCGGCAGGGCGACGAAAACAATTGCGCCATCGGGCGGAACGTCGCAAATTGTGGGCGGACTGGAAAAGCTTTCGATCACGACATCCACGCTAGTCTGTTTTGGAACTTACATAAGAGAGTATGTGGGGTGGCCCAGCAAACAGGTGTTGGGCACCCATGGGCTGGAAGGCTTTGCACGGAATGGATTACGAACCCGGCTTAGAAAGAAGATCCATCATCCAGTACGATCGAGAATGCAGTATCCTTCTAAAAGCCAACATGTCGACGATGAAGTAAATCGTAATAGTGCAAACGCACCAAACATCTTAGATCACGTGTAATATCACATATCACCTACGACCAAGAAAGGAAAGAACCCTTTCCCGCATGCATTTTCCATAAACGCCCTAGTTTGATCGGCGCTAGCTCTGGCTGCCAATACTTTATCTGGCCTAAATCTCCACGTTACCAAATGCTGTACGACATGTTTTGAATAACTACTTCAAAAAAGGAAAAGAGACGACGACCAAAGACTACCCTGTGCTAAAGCCCTGATCTCGCCATGTCCTGTCGAACCTTCCACATGGCTTCTTTTTCTGGACGGAAGCGTAACCGCTGGCTGGCAATCTGAAAGTCCACCCACTCGGCCCGTAGATCTTCGTGGTCCTCCTGCGCACCAGGGCCCATGGCAGCTGTCGAATCGGCGAATGCGGCAAAGAAAAAGACGGTCTTGATGGTATTTGGAGTGGCAGCCTGCAAATCAGGGTACTGGATAACACCAACGAGCTCACTATTGAACAAACCGCACGTCAATTTGGGATCGACAACCGTGGCCACGACCGGCACCGTCTCAATTGCTGAGCCATCGACAAGAGCGAAGTCTTGACCCTCTGCGGCCAGCGTCCTCCCGTGTTTCTCGGACTGCACAGAGCCGTACCCGTCAACCTCAAGCGGCCCTTTCCCGGGCAATGGGGGTGTGTAAGATTGGATGGGTGTGGAAGAAGCAGTTGAAGCAGTTGACATAATTGATGTGCTATAGGCCGTGGACACAGATGATACCGACGCTGCGGAATGTGTTGCACGGTGAGATGCAGTATGATTTCTCCTCCGGTTTGCATCGACAGCGGAGTCGTTAATGACATTGGGTTGTGTAGTTGAGCGCGTTCGGATTTTGAGAGGCAGTAAGTTGGCTCGCACCCCGGTCTCTTCGTATGTTTCACGCAGAGCCGCCGACTGGAGATCCTCACCAATGTTCTTCCTGCCTTTTGGTAGCTGCCAGATCCCAAGCCGTCTGTTGAAAATAATCAGAACTTTCGACGCGCGCGGATCTACACATACAGTGCCGCTTGATACGGTACATCGTTCCGATGGTATGAAAGTCATGTTGTCGTCGATGTAGTCCATGTCAAGTGTGTGGTCGCTGTGGCCGTCTCTTTGTTGGCTTTTGTGGGGTGCCGTTGGATAACCCATATTGAAAACCGGGTCCATAGGTCATCAATACGGCGGGCGAGGACGCGCTCTAGTAGAAAGGGGAGAGGGCAAGCCGCGAGCCACGAGAGAGATTGTCGGATAGCCTCTGTGTTATATAGGTAAAAGGACGGGAAACTGATGAAAAAGGTCCTCGGTAGGTAAGGGTGTGCGTGGTAGGATCAAGGGGGTTCAGTGTAAAAGCCTGTCTGCATTTACAATTGAGACACTCACAGCACAGGTAGCAAACAAAAGCGATAACAGGACTCATAAGACTAGGCGGTTGACGGGAGTAGCCGGTAGCACTTCCGCATAAAGAACGGGGAGGGAGAAAGATCAGCCCGAGCTCTTCGTACCGTTTTCGATCACCTACGGCTCGTGTGCAAGGAAGCAAATCAATGCACAGCATCCACGGCTCCCTGCACGACAAATACAAGGGTGACATGCAGACAGGCAAGCAAACAAAAGGCAATAACGACTTCGCTAGGGACACAAATTCAGGGCTCGACACCGGGGGATAGACTTGGCAAATAGAGAAAGACGAAGACGGAATCCAGAAGGGATCGTTGGATCACGATGCCGTACCGATATCGTGTGCAGCAGGAACCCTGGGCTCTGATTATTGGGTCGTTGACGTTTTCGATGTCACCCACCCCAGAACATGTCCCTGCTTGGTTGCTGCAACTGGCCAAATAATTGCGACGTAATACTGGACTTGTACGGTGTCAAATTGAACGTTAGTGACCATTGAACGGTTGGGAGGATGGGCAGAGGATCGCAAACCGGTGAGAGCGGATATGGTCGGTGAGAGGATATATAGAAAGTCAAAGTGAGTTGGAAGGCTCACGTACCAACGGCGATTTCGGGTGTCGTACATCGTACGGAGTGCTTGGTTGGTTGTTGCAGGAGATGCCACTTCCTTGGAAGTACTTCGTACTTTCAGGGCGAGAAACACATTTGGCCCAAGCCAAAGCCCGTCCCTGGTTATCATCTTCGCACTTGTACCACGGTTTTGTCAGCATTACCAAAAGCTGTGTGAGTGTACTACTGTCAAGGTATAAAAGCTAACGGCTCGGAGAGTGGGGACGGAAATGACGATGTCAATCGTAAATATTATCTTTCTCTAGCCATAATCCTCCTGTGTTTTAAATACCCGATCATGTTTGTTTAGTGTAAGAAATTCCAGTTACCCTCATATACCCTCTCCCTTTGCTCTAAATTTCGGTATCGTACAGCTGTTTGCGGCGGTCGTCACTCTGCAAAGTCGTCCCAATGTCCGGCTGAGGTTCCCAGGGAGGGAGCTCAAGTTTACTTTTGATTCACGTATGCTTGCCCACTGTTTCTTCGGCCCGTCGAGAGGACTCTAATGATACTTCATCTGGGTAGTAAATCGATCGAAGTAGGTGTAGAGACAGTCATTTATGGATGTCGTCGAACTTGCATGAAGCGTAGGGGGACATCAACCATTGTCGTTTGTTGGTTCTGGTGCTTAGGGAGAGCTTTTGTGACGACTTTTGTGGCAAGACACAGGTCGCCAATCAGCATTTGGAACCCATCGCTGCCCAGAGCGGTCAGAAAGAAAACGTCACAAGATCATGGGGATAATAATGTAACAGTAATGCGTTCGCCCCGTGGGCATTGGACTTCACATAGATTGCCGGATAACGAAACCTAGCCAAACAAGCCTTACTTCTGTTAAGTAGATCCGCATCACAAATTGGGAGTAGGTTGACCTGGAAGAAACAGATATTCCACAGGTCTCCCCGCTGCTCGAGACATATCCGGCATTGTAATATCGAAGGCTTATTGTTGTTTTGCATAATGTTGTACGAACAGTTGAAATTCAAAGCGAGGTGCCGTAGCCGAGATGGGAGGATCGACTGTTGTATGCAAGGGGTTGTAAGCGTACCGAAAATTGGCGCCTTTCAGTTCCGCGGTAGAGAAAACACGACGGAGGCTACATCAGTTTTCTTTTCTTTTCCGGTGTTCGTTGCTTGCTAATGATTTGCAGGATAGGTGCATGGACATGCTTTGTTCTCTTTGATGCACTCTCCGCAGTTACTCTTTGTGATCCTCACTTGAGGGCCAGGGAAAGGAGGTCGTGGCGAGATATTGTCATTCTATGCAACAGTCGAACGTGGGATGCGTGTCAGCCCTCCCTTCCAAAACGAAAGCATACCTAGCTTATTGGATTTGGATTGACCGACTAACTTTCGATCTTAGCAAATGGAGTGATATTCCATGCGTGCTTGTGGCTTACTGTCTCTCCTAACCTTGAGGGTCAGCCTAGACCAATTTGCGGTTTCCAGATCGACTTGTCGGCCGCGTGGTGCAATCCCCACTCCTGGACAGCATGATCTGCCTATGTGATACAACACAAAGCACAGAGCACCAGACGCATTGGGCTGAATCCAACCTGGCGTTTGGCTATTCTAGTTCAGCCATCTATGGAAATAAAATAAGGAAGCTCGAGACTACGCTGCGATGAGCAACATGGTCGGGATTGCATTCTCTCATGAGACCTTTCCTTGCAGATGTACATTGCTTCCTCCCTATTTCGTGCGAAGCCCAGACGTTGTTCTAAGAAAACTTATTAGTGACACCTTATTTGCGCAAGGGTGAGAGCGGGAGAGTCGACAGCGAAACACTCAAGCCAGGTCAACAGAGAAAAACATGCCCGTTCGAAGAGGGCTGGCGGACAAACCTTCCAAAGTGCTAAACCCAGAATATAAATGCTAGAGCGTTTCGGTATGGTAACAAACAGAGACTATCTGCCAGCGGTGTCTGACATATGTTAATGGTCTGATCTCGCGGCCTCTACCCGATGCTGGGTGGCGTGCGGCCGGTTTCGCACGGATTTAGATGCTAACATGGTGTTTTTGCCGATGGTGTGATACCCCTTACCTTGCGGCAAACTCGCTGCAGCAGGTCGTCAGATTTCGTGCCCAAGAAACTCCGGGCATTGCCAGATATAGTTTGAGTACGATTCTCATTCTGGCCACGGCTAGACTGAGCTCAATGCTGGATTTCGATTCGGCAGGCACGCAGGAGGGTTTCTACATGCAGAAGGTGGTGTGATCCCCTTCAGACATGTGCCTAAGGCTCCTTCCGTGGAGCACAGATACGGGCACCTGCCAATCTTTGGACAAACGACGACATACCGAAAATATCGCCAGGCGTCAATTTGACGCAAGCGAAGACTCTCAATTCAACCATGGACCGAGCGCGTGCTTGTTATCATGTCGGCAATACCAAACCCCCGACATCGAACAAATGGGGGCTGTTGCTGGTTATACAACATATTAGCGCCGTTGTCCTCCAGGCCCAAGCACTACGTCATACAGGCTGACAGCGAATGTCGTGTTAACGAAAACAGAAACGATAGATAAACAAGATACAGAAATTGGCCGTACGCATTTTTGGTTTGTCCTGGCCACATCCCCTTTCCCATCTCTCTATCTGGCTCTATATAGTACAACGTTGCGTCCTTACGTTAACCACGATTGCAGCCACATGGGCCCTGACTGTTCAATGACTGGCTGAGTGCGGTGCCAGGCCTCTTAGTTTAGCCAGGACGGTCTGGGCGGCGAGGCACTGACACTTTTCGCCCCACACTTTGGGCACTTCTTAAAAAGTGCCCGATTTCGGTTTGTATTTTTCAAACCTCGTCCACGTCTTGTCCTGTTTCCCACAGCCTCCAAAGACTTCATCGAGCGTTCACGCCCTCGTTTTCGGTGTGTGCTCCGTCAAGGCGCATCACCTCGGTCCCTCGAAGCACACCCGTGCCAAGCAAGCTCGGACCGAAATTAAGCCATGGACCAGCGGCCGCCATCCAATAACGGCCTCCCCGTGCACCGGGTTGAGTTTCCCCCTTCACAGCACAGGAACCCCGGCCCGGGTAGGCACTGGATCCGCCGGAGATTGCCACGGTGGCTGCGCAGCAGTCGACGGCTGACAGACAAGGTGGTAGTCACGGAAGAACGAAGTATGCCACCGACCGACCTTACGCACCGACAGGCCTCGAGGGCTTTTGTGACCGTTTTTCAGCGCGGAGGAGTACTGCAGCCCTTTCGCCTCATTGGGCAAGATTTACGTAACCTTCGTTCCCGTTATGTCTCGGACTGGACAGTATTCAACCAGCTGGTCTTTGCCAGCGCGGTATACGTCTTTTTCACAAATATCCTCCCCGGCATCACCTTCGCCAGCGACCTTGACGTCCTCACCGGCCAGTCGTGGGGCACCATCGAGGTGGTCTTTAGCACCGGCCTCTGTGGTCTCATATTTTCGCTGTAATAACTGCCTGCTCTACCATCTTTGACTCTTCCCCAGTGCTGATATTTGATATTTTGATTCTTGTCTCCCAGCTGTGCTGACAAATGCCATTAATGAGCAGTTTCTCAGCACAGCCTCTCACGATTCTGGGCGTCACTGGCCCGTTCTCTGTCTTGGCCGAGAACATATATTCTTTGTGTATCCACTCTTTCCGTGTAAGTTCAAGGTCAGCGACCGCTGTTAGCTTCGCTCCCCCTTCCCTTTCTGTGTGTGGCCATGTCATTAAAGGAAGCCAGATTGATTTCCTCCAATTCATGGCGTGGTCCCTGATACATGCGGCATGGATGCACTACCTACTCGCCATATTGAACGCACACGACTACACCATGCGCTATGTCACTCATTTCAGCGCGGATATATTTTCTCTGCTGAACAGTGTCATCTATTTTCAAAAGGCGGTCCTTGAATTGCAGCGCAACCAGCGTGCTGTCTCTATGGCCAGCTTTCTGTATTCCATTATTGGCGCTGCCGGCACATGTCTCCTGGCTGTTTTTCTTTCCACGGCCGACAAGCATTGGGCTCCTCTCTTTGGCCGTATTCCACGCATGCTTCTGACCGAGTATGCTGCGGCACTCTCGATCATATTCTTCATCGGTGTCCCACATATCGGAGACCTGGCTGCACTCGATCAACAGCGTTTGTCGGTTCAGACCGAACTTCGGCCCACTAGCCTCGACCGTACTGTCTTTCTCGTCCGGTTCTGGGAATTGCCGGCACGCTGGGCTTTGGCCGCAATGCTACCAGGTGCAATTATCACTGTCTTGTTCTTTTTTGACCATGAGATCAGTAGCATTATTTGCACACTCAAGAGATACGGGGTGCAAAAGCCTGGTGGTTTTGCCTGGGACATTGTCCTTCTCGGTACTACAACTGCAATATGCGGTATTCTCGGCATCCCACCTGCAAACGGGCTTCTGCCTCAGGCTCCCCTTCACTCGGAATCCTTGATACATACCGTTTTTGAGCAGGATGACGCTGCGGTTGGCACTTCTTCCATCAATGAAAATGCTGGACAGAACAGGAGCGAAATTACATCCTCCACCGGATCCACAGAACGTGTCTTTACTCGCGTGTATGAACAGCGGTACTCGGCGTTCCTTCAAGCTGCTCTTATTTTGGCCTTCACGTCGCCTCCACTGCAACGACTACTCGGGCTTACACCAACGTCCGTCCTCGCCGGCCTGTTTCTGTTCATGGGTTACCAGTCGCTGTCTGTGAATCCTATCCTCGCCCGGTTTGCGTCTTTATTAACCCCGCCCTCCGAGACGGACACGCTGACGCAGTACAACTTGCCTAACAATGTCCACTGGGCGGCCATCCATTTCTATACCATCACACAAATCGTCGTAACCGCGGCTGTATTTGGTGTCACACTCACTGTAGCCGCACCCATATTCCCAGTCCTCATCATTGTCCTTGTCCCTCTACGATTGATGCTCATGAACAGGATCTGGAGCAAGGAGACGCTCCGTTGGGTGGATGGCTGGGCGTGTCGTGAAGGAAAGCCCGAAGACGAATCATCCCAGGAACAAGGTGACGACGGTGGAGAGAGTGGCAGTCGGATAACAGCAACTCGTCCATCACCAGATGAGAAATGCCGTTCTCGGAAAGACAACATAGGAGAAGCACTCTTCTCAAGTGACCAAGCTGTCCCTTCTGGGATAAGTAGCAACCTTCCTGGAATCTGTGCAGAAGACAAGCTGGAGTAGCTAGGTGCATGCGGTTTCAAAACTTTGGATAGGGTATTCTTGATAGGACCCGGGGGCTGTGTTAAAAAAAAAATATACGTATCACAGAATTTTTCTTGCCACTTGAGACTTCTATCATATCATATTACATCTAATATCAGCCATTGTTCGTACAACTGCCAGCTGTGGCGTATCTAGTATCTATGTTTACAGCCAAATACAAAAAGCATCTCAAAAACACCAAAGACTAGTATCGATTATAAGGGAAAAAAAGAGGAAAACGCCAAATATACCCCGGAACCAAAATATAGAGTACTCCAATGCGCGACGCACACCCCAAAATCGTTTCCCCAGCGAAAAGTTCATGATACAATCATTTCGACATTTCGTGTCATGATTCATAAGGATGGTTAATGCCGATGGCCTTCTGTGATCGGCCACTTGGCCGGTTGGTGAGCTCCGTATACCGCCGAACTCGCCGGATACCCAGTCGACGGTCATCACCGGATGTGCCAGTGGCAAATATCCAGCGCGACCGCGCGGTGGGCAGCGACTTCACCCCGAGCTGGTCTAGCAAAGTTCTTTTGTTGTGGGCGTTCTTAAATGAGGGCTCCTGCATCAGGTCATCATTTGCACAGAAGCTAAGGATCTCAGCTATGCAGGTGACGCTGTGCGGCAAGCGGAAGTTTCTGCGGCCAGGAAGCATTGTGAGAAGACAGATAAAGTTACACACAAGCAAAGCGAGGCAAATGGCAAACAAAGCCATGTTCGGCACCATACGCACTTCCCCTGTCGATATGGTCAGAGCCATGAAGACACCGCCAACAAGGGCAGGAATGAGTGCGGAAGCGGTCGTCATCAAGGAGAAAGTCGCAACTCTCCAGTGGCCATTCCGTGCGGCGTGCCAGCTGGCCTGGAGTGAAAAACATGCAGCGTAGTCGGCCAGAATGGATGCAGAGGGTTGAGAACCTCCGGCATTCGCCGACAACTCCGCCCAAGGCTGCAGGATTCTTACTGTAATATCGATGGATGCCAAGAGAAGGAACAGGGCTTGGCCAAGAAGGGCGGGCAAGAAGCTGTACAAGAAATTAGCGGCAGAAAACGCGCCAGATGTCGGTTCGTGTTCAACAAGCGGCGAAAACCCCCGCTTGATGTATGTCGATGGCAGGAAGGACACGGTCACGAGGGCTAATAACAGAGCAAAAGCGGCTATCGCCAGAGCGAACAGAGGGCCATCTCGTAAACACCATGGCAAATAACGGTTACGGACGCCATCCGAGTGCGGAGAGAGCACCAATGCCTCCAAATCGATACCATCTGACGCAGCGGCATTGGCACGGGTGCGGAGCTTTTCGTTCCATGGTCGGGGAGACTTCTTTGTCGCCGGAGGCTCTGCCATGCTATGGCTACGGGCGTCGAGCCAGGCGTCGTCCAAGAGATCGGTGCCAATTCCATGCCAGATGCCATTCGTACGACCGTCCCTCCAAGCCCAGTAGCCGATCTTGTCGATAGCGCGGTGGCGAAGAACGCGGCGCAGGTCATCGCGGGTGGCCAGTAACTCGCTGCCTTTGTAATCCGTCGTGGTGTTGCTGTTCGAAGCAAGAGTTATAAAGTCGGCAATTGAACGAGGGTCCCAAATGAGGCCAGTGGAATGGATGTGCCAGTCGACCAGAATGGTTATCACGGCGGCGGTGAGGCACACGTAAAAAACAACCAGCGTCCAGGCGATACCCTGCACAGTTGCCCATCTCCAATCTCCGCCAGCAGAGACGACCGAGAAAAGCGAGCCCTGTAATGGAACGGAAATGTTGGTCAACCAAAGGGTAAGAAGAGGGAGGCGGGTTCGCCAAGGCACAGTGTTTGAGACTTGGGGCCAGAGGAAAAAGCCAGGGTAGAGGTTATCGAAAATGGCTCCATTGCGGCGTTCTGGGTGAGGGTTCTCGAGTGCCTGCATGCGGGAAAACGGATGGATGCGGATGATTGTCGAGGAGAGATGAAGAGCGTAGAGAAGGATAACAACAGACAGTAGTTGAGGCAAGACCCGAAATATAAAGAATTGTCCACCGTAGTTATTGCCAGAGTATCTGGTCAGGCCACTGTGCAAGTTGGAGTACACGGAAGAGAAAATGAGTCCCGCAGTCATGACGAGACATTGCAGGATAAAAAAACTCAGCGAAGCAGGTTGCAGGGCGGCGGGTTTGAAATTCGGCGCCGGAAAGACCAACTGCGTCTGTGGCGAGAAACTTTTCAAATCCAGGTAGGCCCAGGAATCTTTGAGATGGTCCGCGGGAAGGGAAACACGAGGCGGCTGCATAGCCGAATGAACCAGTGTAGAGATGGATGAAGTTGTGCTGACGCGGGGTTCATGCCATTTACTGAAGTCTGCCGGCTGCGGTTGGTTGCCTCGTGCCCCATGTGTGCCATCACAGCGGGTAGAGAAGCGGTGATCCAGGTTGTGTTGGACAGGCGAGAGAGGTGCCGGAAGTTTAATGGATGCTGTGCCAATATTTGCTGCACTTCGAGTCAGAGACCGCGGCCGGTAGTAGCCAAGACCATCGTCGGGAACATGACGGAACGGAAAGCTGCTATGCTTGCTGCCGCTCATATCGTCATTGATGGCGTCCGTCGGCGACGAGCTGTGGCCGGTCAAGACATCGAGGGCATAGAGTATGTAAGGTGTGTCATCGACGCCAGGCGTGACGTTGGAAGCCTCACGGGCCACCACATCTTTGAATTGCTGGCCCGGGTCGACGAAAGCTGGGAAGGCAGCAATCGAGACCGTATCCAGAGCCGGACCGCCCATGTAACCCGGTGGAACAGTAGTTGTTCCAAAGCGAGATGTCCGTTGTGCTGTGCCAGCTCCTACTGCCACATGCCTCGAAAGCGTGCCATAACGGGGAAGCGGGGGCCCGAAGAGTCGGTCTGGACCGTAAAGATCCTCGGAAGAGGGAAATGCGCCCGAGGCTGCTGCAGTGGTACCTGACGGGGGCGATGGCGCGTGAGGAACGATTGTTTGCAACGAGGCTGGTTCATCAGACGACGCAGCTTCTGCATTGGCCTCTGTAGTCCGAAAGCTGAGGTCAGAAGCACTACCATAGGTGTTTCCGGCAAGCGGTAACTGGGTTGTCTGAAGTGGCGGGGTCTCCGGTGAGAGTGGCCAAGCGTCCTGCGAGCCATAGAATCTGCGTTTTGGTCGGTCTATAAATATGGTGAAACCAATGTTAGCTTGTGCCTTGTTCGTGAAAATAAGTGAATACCGTAATGGGAACAGAGTACACCGTAAAGAGTACTCCCCGTACGAATAGCCACGTACAAAAAGAGTAAAAAAACACGTACAGTCTTGGTCTGCCATGCCGAGGCCGGAATTCTCCATAGTCATCCTCTGATCGCCGTCGCCACCCACCAAACAACTATTGCCAGCTACACTTTCGGTGCCCGAGTAGCCGATAGCACGAGTCTGTGCAGGGCTGTACGTGGCAGAAATTGACGTCCGCAGCTCAAGATCGTCGAATTTCCAAGATAGCTATAGCAAGGTCGCCAGTCGAGGTGCCTGATGTTGGGTATCTTGGCGCAGTTACGGAGGATGTCTGAATCGGTGGACGGTAAACTCGCGGTGTGCGTTTCTTTTTCTTTCTTTGTGGTAGGAGTAGGGTCGTCGTGATTGGTGCTAGTGAGCATGCCGGTCGACAAATGAGACAAGCAATCAACGTGAAATGTGAAAGGAAGATAAAAGAAAAATCGAATGCAATATGCAAGTCGGGAAGCGGCCGCATGGAGGGCGGCCGCACTGCAGAAATAGCAAGCGGCATTCCAGAGGCGAGGCTGGCCACCGTTCGTGATGACGCCTCGATTGGGCGATGCGGTGGTTGGTTTCGCGCGACACTGCACTCAATTTTGCAATGTCGAAACGAGGCTATCACCAGCCTCCTCCCGGAAAGGAGTCAATACCACTAAATCCACGCCCCTGGCAAGACGCTAATAGGTCGTCACGGACGCTAGGCCAAGGCGTGACACTTGGTCCGCGCTAGAAGGTAGCTAGAAATCCAGTGTAGATACAAAATATGAGCTCAGTTTACCTCGTCTATCCACGTACCGATACTTAAGCACACAACGACTGAGTGGCTGGAAGGCTCACTCTTAGTGCCGGCTGCCCCACACCATCCGCCAGCCCCAAACTCCCCCTAGCCTTTCGAACTTCCAAGGTACCCTTCTGCCTGCCCACTGCACCAAAAGCCGGTCGCAAGCCCAGCCTTCCACAATTGAGCCTTGCTCAATGGTTTTCCCGAAAGTCACCTCAGTAGTCGAATACTCCTTCACATGTTTACCGCACGGTACAACATACAGAAGTATTTCCGTCGGCCATACCTTAATACCAGCCACAAACCACCAACAACATGGTCCATGTTTATTCGCCGGGCCATACGACGTAGCTCTGTCATGCCCCCCTTGCTCAGCCTGCGACTTGCATGATCTCTCATTGCACCACCGCGACCTGCGCGTAACCCCCATACTGAGCCTCTTCAAAGTACTCCGCAGCGGCCATAGAAACTGTCAACTCGTCGTAAGGAAAAAAGGTAATAGATCATATGGCTACATTGTTTGCTTAGTCTCAACTATATTCGTGCCTTCTGCTATTCGAGACCGGTAGCACGCGTAGCACTTTTGTTTTCTGTTCTTTCAATGAAAATCATCGTCGCCGGTATTCCCAAGAAAGTGTAGGAAGTCGAAGTCCCAAAATTACTCGAGCTTTTTGGAGAGACGACATTAGAGCGTCTCACATACCACTCAAGACCCAACAATTCGTGTCCAGACAGACCATAGCTCCGTTCCAGTGTTCTTGCCTCATACGACGGACCTAGCCACGCTCTTGCCTGTTCCGGCATTAGAAACCTTGCCATCTCACTCGTACCTTCTGGCACCCCACAGACTCCCACGCGCGGTCAAAAGAAACGAAAAGAAAAGAAAACTGCAAGGTACGAGATATTATTTTCATTTCACTGCTCGCCAAGTTTCTCCCGGCTATACCTCGGCAGCCAGAATTCCCACAGCACAAAATCCTAAAACGTCTGGCCATCTCAAGCTGCGCAAATTCGTCTTTACGCGCCTCTCCCGCATTGTCAATGCCCGCCCACACACGGTGACGACGGACAGTACGTTCCCACCCTTTAACGGCTGTTTTCTCCCGCGTCTTTACTAACAGAAGGTCCTCTCATTCTCCCCTGCTCCAGGCTATTGCACTGCACCAGTCTCGCCTGATTTGTACTTAGCGGGCAAGAGGCAGTACAGACGAGGCCGTCGGTCTGCAAACTCTGCAAATGCATGGTTCGGTATCTGACACGGTGCCTCGCAAGAAGCCATCATCCTAGGACCCAGAGTAGCTTGGATCAACAAGTACATGACCACAAAAATAAGCGGGAGTCGGCTTGAACTCTCTGGTACGGCAACCGGTTTCCCGTCCTGTCGACTATCAGCCGTGGCACATACGCCTGGTGGCGTATATCGGGTATACGCCAACCAATTCCATGAACATGTCAGAGAACAAAATACACATTCAGCGTCTCCGACCTCGGCGTCTACTATATCCGACCCCGATCCTTTTTATCCAGGGCAGGCTTGATACCAGCAATGTGAGTTGCAGCCGCACAACAAAGCCAAGCCGAACGGCAATTTACAAGACCCCACTGTTCCTCACTTCTCTGTAGTTCCCTATTCTGACTGGGTATAAATGTTAGGTCTGGCTGACGAAGCCTGATGGTCGCCAGGGTTGGGCCTCAGCCTTCCTATTTATGGGTTACGAGGTCGTCCTGTTCGATTTCCCGTCCCATGGGCGGTCAAGAAGTTCCGTCGCATGCGAGAGCGTTGCCATGGGTGTGGACCACATTGAAGCAGAAGTCACTGCGAGTGCAAAAAGCACACTGAGAACCTGGCCATCAGCAACGTGCCATGACAGGTGGCCAGGCACCGGGCTTTGTGGTGATCCTATATTCTCAGACTACTCGATGTCCCCCGACATAGTAATGGCAGATCATTCTCTGCTGCAGACACTTTCTCAAACTACTGTCGTGTCTGTTCTCACGTGGCTCAAGGTCGCAGCTACCATCCTCATTGGGCAAGGCAGTGGTGCTACCGCGGCCTAGCTTGCCGCCGACCACGTTCCAGGGCTCGTTGCGGGTGTCATTGCCATTGAGCCAGATGGACCGCCTTTTGTGAGTGCAAGCCTTTACGGGCCCAAAGGACCACAACTCCACAATCTGGAGGCCTTTCCGTGGCCAAGCAACCGTCAGTATGGAGATGCAGACGTTCCCCTGACATTTGAGCCCCCATTACCCCCGTGCGTTTCCGAAGGCAATGTATGGGGCAGCAACAACAGCGGTGCAACGGCCCAGTCGTTCGACCTAGCCCATCAAAGAGGTCGGGGCGAGAGCTACCTACTGGATGAGGCCTCGCCAACTTCGGGCATATACAACCCGTTCAACGAGCCTACAACAGTTCCTATTCGAAAGTTTCTTAGCCTCTCCAGATTTCCCCACGCTATAGTGACGGCGGAGGCCAGTTCCACGCATGACTGGGCCACAGCTGATTTCTTGATAAAGGCAGGTGTCCGTGTTCAGTGGCTCGAGCTAGCAAAGTTTGGAACACACGATAATGGCCACATCTGCTTCTTGAAAACCAATAGTAATACTATCGCCAACTTTCTGTCTGCGTGGATCCAGAAGTCAATTTCGTGTTCTCGGCCACCCACGGTGGCTTTACAGGATGGAACCCAACCGTCCCATCATAATTGGTCTTCCAGTTCTCACTCTCTGGAAGCTGAAAGCGACTCAGAAGTCGCCAAAGATGCACATCCGCCATACAATGCAAACACTCGCGACGAGGATAGGACATTGGCTTCAAAACACGAAGATCGTCTGTCCCTGATACCATCGTTCAAGGAGTTGAATCGGAAGTATCAAGATTCCATCCGCCACACCATGGCAACCCAGAAAAGTGTGCACGCGGTCACGATTTCCAACCAAAACAGAGAATCAGCAATGCAACAACCCCAACCGCAAAAGGACCGCAGCCCCGACACACGGCCTTGCACAATCGATCCTCTGCCCCCCGATCAGCTCGATACTTTGATATCGGCCCCGGACGTGCCACCATTTTCGGTATTTTGTGCCCATAGCCATCTCAACGTCGACCAGACTCGATTCAATCAGTCCTATTTTGACAACTTGAAAGTCGCCCAAAGATATCTTGGACCTGTCCATCCTGAACAAATCTACGGTGGTATGGGCAGTCTATCGGGTAGCAGTATGTTCGGGACGCACGGCACGGGAGGCTACCCAGACTGCTCCTTAGAAAACCCTGTAACAAAGCTCTATTCACACCAATCTATCCCAATCCAGAGCTGTGAGCCACATGCTGATTATTGCACGGACCAAGGCTTCCCAAATCACCCTATTCCAGCTCTCGATATGCAGTTATCATTTGCAGCAGGTGCAAGAAGCACCGGTAACCCGTACAATGGTCAGCACCATAGGCAGCCAAACGGCCGGTATTCGTCAGGTTCGCTTCACGGTACGCAGGCAGTGATGTTTTCTCACAGGTTAGGCTTCACGCCAAACTCTATGGGTAGCTTCCCCCCGGCAGAGACAATGCCAATACCATCCGAGCCATAGAACGGGGGGTGGAGTGCATCGTTGACTACGGCTTGTGAAGCGACGTTTGCGCAGATGCATGCCCCGACCGGCGTGGCATCGAAAAGCTACACTAGTCACATTCTACATGTGGCCGGCGAAGGTCAAGGATCGTCCTCATATGGCAGTGACCAGAGCCTGACTAAGGTACGCCAGCAAACAGCAGAAGGAACTGCCCATCCAGAAAGGGCCCGAAGCAACCTAACGTCACCTACAAACCAATTCCTTCGGTTCAGGGGCAGAGGGCCAGGAGCCGTGTTTGGCGGGGTGAGAGAGGGTGGAGAGAGATGCGCACCCAGTGGTGCAAAGCGCAAACGCGATGACAGCACGACACCCTACGGCACCGCAGTACTTCGGCGAGCGGTCTGAGACTATTCTTCCGCTGGGGAACATGGGATTGTGGAGGGTGAGCGCGGCAGGCTGAAGACGGGGGGGTCGTGTAATTAAAGGGAGAGCGGCTGTGCTTGAAGTTGAGCTTGATGGAGCTGGGTGGTGGAATTTGATATTTGACCACATGTGGCAGGATAAAATGGCGAAGGAGACCTTTCTTTGCCATACCATTGTCCAGTAATTGATCCGATATGGAGTAGATACGGAGTAGATATGCGATAAATGTCCTCCTGCTTTGAGCAAGATTAGCATGGGCGAGGCTTTTCGAATATTCCTACATCATAATACCTTGTAGCATAAACACCGTAAAATACTCCAAACATACAGGAGCATCACCTGCATTACAAAGAAACCTGAACCTAATTGCACTTCGCTAGCGTACGAGCCTTCTCAGAGCGGGATCCTATTGCGCCGTATTACGGGATTCTGTTGATTACTGCAGGGCAATATTAATAATTCCTGTTCTACGATGGAGATAGAGTGACGGCCGGCCATCCTCGCACGACATACCTTTCCAAATATATAACATACACTAGCCTCCGGTGGCTGGTGCGCGGTCAACGAACCACCATTGAGGCCACACCCAGCAAGCGACCATGCTGTCGACCGTTCTACCAAGTACTTGGAGCAAAATGGGCCTGGGCGTTGCAGTGAGCTTCGCAATGTTTGGCCTCAGCGGCATCCTATTTCCTCGACACGCGGCAGAGTCAGCGTTCGGTATTGTTTCGGAGCCAGAGCCGGCCGCCGGCGTCCCCAGCAAGAGTGCGGCGGTGCTCTTGCCACCACTAATTGGGGTCCGAGACCTGGCAATTGCGGCGACGCTGGTGATGCTGTACCATCGGCGGCTGAGTTGGGAGATGGGCTTTGTGGTTGTGTTGCGGACGGTTTTCTGTGCGGCTGACACGGTGCTCATCGCAAAACAAAAGAGCATGCGCGAGTACGTTTTCCTCCTGTGCCCATTCCTGCTCTTGTCGGCTACCTTGTTCATTTAACTGACTCACCGGCGAACTTCAGGGGTCTGCTTGCCAGTAGCGGCCTGATCGCTTGGCTCGTCATCGGGTTTGGGCTTATGTCGACGTCGAGCGCCCCGTTATAAAATGGATGCATCGACAGATCAGCTCCGATTTTTTTCTCCGGCCCCCTCCCGCAGAAGCATAACACATGAGCCTGTAGATCGTTTCATTAGGGTCCTTTGTCAGAGTTTATTGTGCTGAGATGTCGCTGTTCCTCCGTTGCTGGCACAAAGGCCCTGTGGGCGTCGTTGAGAGCACGTTGTAAAGAGATGACGTCACATGCTGTATCCGGTTGTTCCTGCCGATTCGCGTACGCTCTTTGGATCAAGAAAAGTCGGCCATGGGCAAATTCAGCTCGATGTACGAAATACTTTCGTGCGCAATGATATGCACGTATTAATACAGTCCATGCTCTGTATCGTACTTCTGTGTTGGAGTGTCTGAAATGCAATCAGCTTTGTAGGGCAGGCTTTGTGTGGGCCAACAAGGCACCCTGCGGCATGTAATTAATGGGTACCGTTGGTGGCTGGAAGCGGGCACTGTAGGAACGATCAAACCCCGCTGGTCCCTTGACGGTATTTTTGATTAAATATATCGACGTCACCCGGAATGTGGTGGCCCCAATGCGATCCTGCTTCGGGTCACGCGAACTGATGGCGTTGGCAGTTGGTTGCGGGGTCAACTGGCGTTGTTGGTTGCGCACCTGTTGCAAACAAAGGCCCTGGTAACCCCTATGGGTTCGCATTTCTTAGCGCCTACATTCATCCCGGAGTCCGCCAAACATGGACAGCTTCTACTAGCGTTCGTGGGTCAGGCCAGGCGCTGAGTGGCCAAGTATTTATTAAGGCTCGGCGGCTTACAGGAGGGTTCGCTGCCGCCTCAATCTGCCCATCTTTCCTGTTCAAGCGGGAGACAAACAAAACCAAAGCATACAATAACCAACCTCTGATTTTCCTGCATTTCAAATCGTCGTCTTAACCTGTCCCTATATTCTTCTCAGGACAAATCTTTCAACCCACTAATCCACGCCCTCTCGCCTTTCACTATGGCTGAACAGAGCTCTTCTGCCGCCGTGGACCAGACCCCCATCTCGCCGGTGCGCCCTACTAATGCTGTGCGACGCGACTCTCTAGAGCAGCACCTGCAGAACCGGCCCAACCGTGAGGAGCTTGTGCAGAGTAAGTCCGAGCCCGAGTCCGAGTCCGGGGCCAAGTCCGGGTCTGAGTCTGGATCCGTTTCCTCGCTATGTTGATACCCATCTCATATACCTGTTGCTATGGATTGTCCAACAGCTGACTTTTACGCCGATAGAGAACATCCTACCTGACTCAACAGCAGCCCCAGGCCTGCAGGCCCATCAGAAGCAGCTCGAGAAAAGCATGCGCGCAGATTCTCTCAACGACAAAATCTCGCACCGGCCGTCGCCCGAGGAGCTGATCAAGAAGGGCGTGCTCGACGAGGATCCGCGGTCGGCTGAGGAGAGGTACGAGGAGGCCATTGAAGAGGAATATGCTAAGCGGGAGGGTGGTGCTTGAGAGGTGAGTTGGCTCGCTTGCGGGGAATGGAAACGTCTAATGTGGGGCTGCTTGAAGCACCAATTCGGTGGTGGCCAATGCAGAGCCCCTCGGGGAGGATATGCTATCTATATCATAATGCCTTTTACACACTCCAGTATCGCTTTTTCTCCTTAAATTCATGTTCCTTTGAGCCTGTAAATGACGACAGTTACAAGAAATGGTAAGATAGCACGTTAGCAAATCCGAAACAGAAACCTATAAAGAAAACCTATACAGAAAACAATGTCGATAAAAAGAAAATATAGGGGTGGAATAATAGTGGGCGGAGGAAGAAGAAGAAGAAGAAAGGGCAAATAGCAAGAGGCAGACAGAGATAGAAGAAAGCCCAAACACCTAACCAATTATCGAGCACACTGTACGGCAGGTAAAAAAAAACCAACAGAGTAAGTGTTAATGCCTGGGCCACATCAACATACCCAAGCAAAGACTAAAATATCTTACAACCTAAAAACGAGAGTACGGGACATATGAAATCGCCTGCAAAATTCATCAACGCCAATCATACACAGGGATAATGCCCGTATACAATTGTCACCGAGACAACTTGGTTTTGTGGTCAACGTGTGGCAGGATCTCGCCCACCAAGGCGTCTGTGTCAAACGATGTTAGAGTAGACCGCAGCCGCGACGCATATGTCCTAGAAGAGAGTTGTCCGCTTAGTGGAAGTTCTGCTGGTGCTGGCCGTTGATGATGGCGGACTATAGGACAAGAGAGAACCAACCGTGGAGAACGGGCCTGACGAGCTTCAGTAGCCCCCTGTATGACTGGTCCTATCGGACGGCATGAGGACAGTAATTCGTTGGAAATAAAGTGCGATGGATAATCTGGCCAGACAGTCGCGCACACACCCACAAACAATGCTCACGAAACACATAATGGACGCAACTAGATGAGAGTCCCAGCATCATGTCCCGGTCCCCGGTTTGGCGTACATTCCCTAACAAGAGCAACACGTGGCAAGGTTTAACAGCCAATACACAACCCGCCCATAGAGACTTAATATACCCCGGAGGTTCACCGCCAACAACTATCCTGCCGACAAGCGCAGGAAACCACTCAGAGATGAAATTAGGTCCGGGAGGGAAGGGATTGTAGCCTTGCGGCCTCAGTGGTCCTGCTGGCCAACCAATGCGGCTTCAAGGAATGGGGTCCTGTCTGAACTTTATCTCAGTTTGCAAGGCTAGCGGACTTTCTTGGAGTGTGAGTGGCGACAAAAGCGGCAAGTAGCCCCCACCTGCCTAATAAGTCGACCGCTGCTCCCTGGCCAATGGAAGCTCAATGGAGGATAGCTCCAAATGAACTCATACATACTGCGGTGTATTTGACAGTTCATCTCAATTGAGGAGAGGACGGCAAGGGCGATCCTGCACCTTCCTTCTTCACCACTGTACGACATACACAGATTAACAACACCAGACTTTGGATCGCACACACAACCACGCAACATCCCAATATGCACGGCCTTCTTGCTTCGCTCTCGCTCATGGCGTCTGCCGCCGCTGGCGTCCTGGCTGCCGACCTGAGGATTGACGTTACGCTACCGGTTGAATGTGACCGCCGTACGCAAGTTAACGACAAGATTTATGTCCACTACCGGGGGACGCTGCAGTCAAATGGCAACAAGTTTGATGCCAGTGAGTCCAACTACATTGCCAGAGGTGGCCCACAATCTGTCGTTTTGTTACGTGCTCAATGACTCACGCTGCCGCGATCCTTTCCCGCAGGCTACGACAGAGGCACACCGTTCTCCTTCGTTTTGGGCCAAGGACAGGTGATCAAGGGGTATGATAACCTGCCCAGCGCACAGACGGACGAGTTATCCCATCCTCTCCTCTATACTTACGCCCACGTTGCTAACCCCTGGCACGTCGTGTCTCTCCCTCAGCTGGGAGCAAGGTCTTCTCGACATGTGCATCGGCGAGAAGCGGTAACACCCCCACTCAACCCCCCAGCTTTGAGACTTTGTCTCCTCCCGAAGTAAGGTTTTAATACAAACGTCTCCCTTAGAACACTCACTGTCCCACCCGAATATGGCTACGGCCAGCGTGGCATTGGCCCCATCCCTGCCGGCTCTACTCTGGGTACGTTATGGCTCCTGCACCGCTGTCGGCGGAGCATCTGACTGTCGCGACCGGGAAAATGAACTGAGATGGAGCTGAGGCAAGACCGGTAGTTTGGCACAGGCCCAAGAACAGATTACTGACAGCGTCCGTTCCCCAGTCTTTGAAACCGAGCTGATCGGCATCGAGGGTGTTCCTAAGCCTGAATCGATCGTTACGAAGGCGGCTACCGGTGACCCTTCCGCGGACTCGAGCGCCAGCACTGAAGCCGAAGCCGAGGCCGAAACGCCAAATGTCGCGGAAATAGTTGTCAGCAAAGTTGCAGAGGCGGCCGATGTCGTGAAAACGATTGTCGCCGACACCGACGACAGCCAGGAGCACAACGAGCTGTAGTACCGTGTGTGGATGAATATGCGCTGGAAATCTCAATCGGCCACGCTGCCGAACTGTTCCCGGGTACATGAGCTCGATCGCGTGTGCCTAGACACCGAATATTACGACACTTCCGGCGATGGTGCCCTTTGCGCAGATGCCGGGTCATATAAATGGATTGTTGAAACAGGCGTTGGACCAATCTGGTGATCTGCCCGAGACAGTTTGTCTTGAAATGCTGATTTTTCTTCTCTACAGAGGCATCACTGTGTTAATAGGGTTGCTAGCACATTATACCGAAACCCTTGTTAATCAAATCGAGTCTGCTCAACGGATACACCACTTCCATGCACATTTATATATACACACTACATCAGCCCCGAGTGCGATATAAGTTCATCAACTACTCCATAGGACAAGAATATGCCGTACCTCAGTATCACAATCCCGCTTCTACGTGCGTTGCGTTGCCCGTAGAAAATACATATCATAAACAGGGCGAAGTTGTGCGAGAAGGAGAGCATTTAATGTCCAGCCACACGTAACGTAACAGAGTGGCCGTATTTCACGCTGTATAAATCACTATCCTTGCCTCGGCAAACGAAAAAATTTGCAGGTCGCCGTGCTCCGTAACTGACAAAGCAGTGGCTTTGGGAGTACGGCGACGTGGGAGTGCATTCCAATGCGGGTATCGACGTTTCTTCTTCTTCCCCGTTTTCGGATCATCATTTTCCTGCGTTTGCTTCTCTTCTCTGCGATGCTAACTGGCTTTCTCTGTTTGTAGGCAACGTTTGTTGTCGTTGTGCTGCCAGAGGCCTCGTTCATTGAACACCGGCGAGACCGGCTAAATGTCAGATTTTAAGTAATACACGACACGCAACAGTTGTTGGCACAAGGAGCCGGTCAAGAAATCAAAGGCGAGAACAGCGAAAAAAATCAAAGATGAACATTCCCTTCCAACAATCCTCAAATCCTCAAAGGACACAAAATCAGAACCCGAGGCACATTCTCTCGCCTTGAGAGATGCCAGGGCGTTGTGACGGGTTCGCTGCCCAGGTCCCCAAACCGGCCGAGCGCCCATGGGGTGGAAAGACCCCCTCTACGCGACGGATAGAAGTAATACAGAAATACATTATACTGAAATACGCAAGAACAGAGCGGAAAGCCAGCGGCCGGGCGATTGCTGCTGCCGGGCCGCCCCTCATATCGTGCATCGGTGAACGACAGACGCCAGACGATGAACGGATCGACACATATTTTCAAACCGGTTCTCCACGATCGTCCTGTCGGGCAGTTGTCAAGTACTGGGAATGCAAAAGAGAGATAACAGGAACTCAAGAGAATGGTTTCAAACATTCCTCTCGGTTAAAAACGTACGTTAAGATATCGTTAAACTTATAAAAAAAGTTTTACACTTCCCGTGTCTTAATGTTTTTGACAGAAAGCATGCGGTTGTTGTTCTTCCACCCTATAGGTGGGATAGGCACAGTTCTCTCTCGTCTATGATGCTATGGCGTGCCGGCACGCCTCCACGTTTCCCAGCCGCGCCGCTGTATCTGGATTGCCGTTGTTTTGTTTTTGGTTTTGTTGTTGTTGTTATCGTTATTTTCACGCTGTCCCTCACCCGTTCACAGACTCATCCGGAACCGAAATGTCGTATTTTTTAACGGGAAATTAAATTGAAATAAGTCAAAGTAAATAAATCGGGGTATTGAAACAAACTGTATGATTTTTAAAAAAAGGAAATTTGACCAAGATGCACGATAAACACAGTGTTTACAACCCGCACGGTATTCATCCACCAGAGAATGACAAGACATTTCGTACAGTGCGAGTCCTAGGCCGGCTTACTGGCAAGTGAATGGCAGCACAAGATATAGCGAGACAGGAAACGTCGTTGCTTTGGAACTAGTACGATGTACGCAGGGTCGCGACAGCGACCACAACGGTGCGTTTACAATCGTCAGCAATCATCTGTTCAAATGTTTTCGGTATATTGACCGGTTGCCCACATATGGCTTGTGCACTGCTCAGTCTATATTTGGACTCGCACAATGGGCTCTACGCCAGCTTTGGACCTACAAGCCACACCCGAGGACTCTGGTGAGGCAAGCGCCGCAAACAGGTCAAAGGAGACGCTTTGCTTGGCTGATGACCACGAGGATGATAACGACCCGGCCCGGTTGACGACCCAACCGAATGACTCAAACCACCCATCGGCACACGAGACCCTCAAGTACTCTCTTCTCGGCCCTTCATTGCTCAAAGCAGGACAGGAGTCGGTTGACCAGTCTAAAGTATGTACATGACATGCCACACCCGAAGTACTCTCTTCCTAATGCTGCCCTGAACTCTTTCTAACGCCTGACGTGCAGGTATCGGATGTCATATACCATGCATCCAAGGGCTCCAAGTATTTTGACAGGGAGGAGGAGAGGGACAAACTACTGTCCTTAAAAATCAATCAACTCGTCTCGAAAAAGGTACAGCTCGAGGGCCTGGATTTAGCCCGTGATCTGCGTCTTGTCGATACACTCCTCTCACAGCTAGAAAATGGGCGCGACCTCTCGCAGTTCATTGTGCACGTTGACTGCGATGCCTTCTACGCATCGGTAGAGCTTTTGGACCGCCCAGAGCTGGCGGACGTGCCCTTTGCCGTGGGCAGAGGAGTTCTTTCGACTTGCAACTATGTCGCGCGCAAGTTTGGATGTCGAAGTGGTATGGCGGGCTTTGTGGCAAAGAAGCTATGCCCACAGCTCGTGCTGCTAAAGCCTGATTACACAAAGTACAATGCGAAAGCTCAGGATATCAGACAGATCCTGGCTGAGTATGACCCTCGTTTCGAGAGTGCCAGCATTGACGAGGCGTATCTTAACATCACACAATACTGCTCTTCGAACAACATGTTGCCCGCTGCAGCGGTGGAGAAACTTAGGCAGGAGGTTGCTGAAAAGACTAAGATCACTGTATCTGCAGGTATCGCGGCCAACACCCGGCTCGCCAAGATTTGTTCGAATATGAACAAACCCAACGGACAGTTCATTCTACCTAACGATCGAGCCGCAATCCTGGACTTTATGAAAATGCTACCCTGCCGCAAAGTCAACGGCGTTGGCAGGGTCTTTGAAAGAGAGCTCGCGGCGCTCGGCATCAACACTTGCGGAGACATATTTGACCAGCGAATGTTTCTCAGCCAATTATTCGGGAACAAGGCCTGTCACTTTCTTGTCCAGTGCTACCTGGGCCTTGGAAGAACAAGGGTGCAGCCAGCTGAGGAGTACGAGCGGAAGAGTGTAGGCACCGAAAGCACCTTTGCAAGTATTTCGGACATTGGCCAGCTACGCCAAAAGCTGCGGTGGACAGCAGAGGAACTTGAAAAGGACCTGAAACGCGCCGCGTGCAAAGGACGCACGCTGGTTCTCAAAATCAAGCTACACACTTTTGAAGTATACACCCGACAGGTTGTCTTGCCGCGGGCGCTGCAACAGGCCAACGACCTGTACGGCTATGCACTTCCCATGTTAAGCAAGTTAGAACAGGACATACCCAACATGACCGCCAGACTTATGGGCTTACGGTGTACTCATCTAATCGGAAGCAAGCGTCCTGACGCCCTCGCTTTTTTTGGAATCAAGTCACCGGGAAGCACCGAAACCTCGAGCAACCAGAACCCCGACAACAGAATAGAGCATGAGGAGATAAGGGAACCTATTGATGACGACCGCGAGTGGGAGGTTTGGCCCGAGGCGGAGAGTGATGGCGGTGGGATTCTTAAGGCAAGATCGAGGGACTGCAAGGGAGGCTCGGTTGCGCCACCGCTGCAGGGACCGCCTCTGGAGAGCGAGTTGTTAATCAGCCAGCCGCCTGCCGAACCTGCGGTACCAGAGCCTCGCCCCCACGGCAAGACCATTACGGCTAACCCAACGAGCAGCAGCAGTGGTTGGGGGCCACTATCAGAGAAGAAAGAACTGTGGTCGTGCCCTGTGTGCCTCCGTGGGCAACCTGCCGACGAAAAACAATTCAATAACCATATTGATAATTGCTTGTCTCGCCGTACCATCCTCGAGGTTGTACAGCAGAGCTCGTCTGCGCCAAGCCTGGAAAAAAAGAGTGTCAGGGCGAAGGCTGACAAGAAACGCAGTCGACCAGCCGCGGCGGCGGAGAGTTCCGACGACCACCGGCAAAAGAAGATCAGTTTTAAAGGCGAATAGGTTAATCATAGTCGGTATACAAGTTCGTCCTTGAAAGATTGGAATTGGAATGACTACTGCCTAGCCATAGTTATATATATCCCAAGTTTGCCGCATCCCCAAATTCCAAAAAAAACCTAGTTTCCAAACGCCATACGCCTGTTCGCTCGTGCCGAAATTCGTTACCATTATCCTTTCGAGCGTGCTTTGGTAGCTCGCTTAACCCATAACCGAATCCACCTCTTTGTAAACCGTAGCTCCGTTGGGTCCATGCGACACATGCATGGTGCTAAGCCCTGGTGTGTATCCGTCAGCCTCTATCACCGACGGTGCTCGTTGACGTGATACTGGCTGGGCAATATTCCAAAAGCTGTGTAGTGAGCGCTGATTCTGATCTGTATCAACGCTGTCTAGACCGAGACTGTTCTGTCCCTGTAATGCCGGAAGATCGTGCTGACTATCTTGCCCGTCCTGGCCGCCTAGGCCCACCATCTGCTGCCGTTTTTGTCCTGGACCCGATGATAGTTGGACGCGCCCCGACTGCTGCGCCGAGTATAGTAGTTTCAGGGTATGTTCTTAAAGGCATGCGCGTATTAGTCGCAAAACATCATAGGGGTTGTACATGCCCGCCGTGTGCGAGCTCTCTTCAGAAGCTGGATGTGTTTGGAGACGTACCGTGGACTTCAGCCTCCGAAGGCCGGCTGTCGCGGTACCGTTTCAGTGTCCGGCTGTTGAAATGTAGAGGCGTTCCGCGTCCGCGAAACATCGCTGGCATGGTCGTGACGTTGTCGGACGGCGACGACGAATTGCCGAAATCTGCCGTCAGCCTCGGAGGCGACGACAGAGTGGTGCTGCATGAAAATGAAAGCTCCGAGTCGGAGCGTTTGCGCTTTAGTTGGAAGGCCATTTTAGTCAGTAAGAATACATTTGTAATGTGCGCGGGGTGCAATTGGATTGAATCGAGAAGCGGCGAGGATGGACCGAGTTGGAATCGTGAAGCATGGCCTGCGTGAGCGAGACAGGCAAGTGCAACAGTCGCGAAGGAGGCTGGGGCCCAGTGGGGCGCGACGGTGCAGTAAACATGTCGTTTTGCGAAGTGGAACTGGGAACGCGTTTTGTTGTCGTCAGCGCGTAAAGTGGTTTTAAAGGCGATTTTAGTGGGGCACGTCTGCCCAAAGGGGCAGGGTGATATCATCAGACAGCTCCAGTCTACACTACTCAGAGAACAGCCGAGACAGCGTACCTATACACCGTAATAACGTTATACGACGAATCAAAACTATCCGCGCACTAATCCAACCAGCTACGGTGGCTGGTGTGTCCGTACGAAGGACTTGAACTGTTGTACTCTGAACACAAATAACCACATCTGCCAAAATCTGCTCTTCTAGAGGAAGCGATGTTCTTAAGACTTTTACAGTCGTCATATACCAGCTTGCCGATGCCGCTCTTGCCAGTGCTGACCAGCATGCATACTTGGCGGGCAGCGTCAAGATCCAGATAGCCCAATTGAGAGACAAGTGCCTTTATTTTACAGTGGCCGCTAGATTTCCAGCACACCCCTGATTCTGCGGATTCCGCAAAACACTCGACACAAAATCCCTCGACGTTCAAGTCAGCATACCACTGCTGTATAACGGCAAGCAGCCAGCCCATCCGGAACGGTACGTATTGCGGGCCGATGACGTGTGACGGCCACAAACGAATGGTCGGCAGTGAGGCATCACGCACGCTTGCCTAGAACTGCCAAGCACGAACATAAGATATTTAGCAACGGGTAACAGGCCTATATATTCAAGACGTATGTGAAATTTTCTTGACGGCATACATGAACTGCATTTGGGAGTGGGGGTGTGGCGGTTAAGAGAAAGACGTGTGCTGAAACAAGCATCAGTAGTGAAAAGGGTGGGAAAGAAAAGAAGCAGCGCACACATGGAAAAGACATGAAAGCTCCAAAAAATGAATGAAGGTAAGTAAATGGTAGATTGCTGATCCAAGGAAGGGACAAGGGGTGGTTTTCATAAAGTCAAATAGTGAGAACAGGTATTACAAGAGTGTGCTCAAATGATGGAAGAAGGGAGCAAATTTAGAGGGAGATAGACAGAGACAGAGACTGAGAGCGGGATAGAGGGGGGGAGAGCGTCTGTATGCGTTTTGCGATATTGCAAGAAATATGGCCGATGTAGGTCTGGCCCTGTGTTCACACTTTAAGCACCAAAAATTCTGACCTGTTGTGACAAAGCGAAGGGGTAAGGAGTGAAAAAGCGACAAATTTAGTTCTTGACCGATTTTCGGATCAGTGAATCGGATGGCGCTACACGCTGTGCCCATTCGCTAGATACGGCCAGTCAGTATATTAACATTCGATGGCCTCAAGTCTTGCAAGCAGCATTGCGTGCTATCGGGAAAACTCACGTCCAGCTGCCATCGTAGACTCTCCTCTGCTCAGGAGAACCATACTGCGCCTCTCCAAGTGCAGTTTCTATCACACACGCTGTGACCCCCGTGCCGCAGCTTGAGATGATGGGTTTTTCTGGGTCAATGCCCTTCTTCTGAAACAGCTCCCTGAGTGCGTTTGCAGGGAGGAAGGTTTTAGAGGATGGGTCCAAAACAGCGTCGTAAGGGATGTTGACAGCGCCAGGCATGTGTCCAGACGACAAGCCGGGGCGCGGCTCCGGCACGGTGCCAGTGAAGCGACCACTGGACCTGGCATCTATTATTTGGACACCTTCGGCGCCCTCCTTGTTGTGGTCAAACGCCACCTCTCGGACATCTTCATAACTGGCCACCTTAGTACTGTCGACTTCGGGAATCGGGTAAGCGCAGCATTCGACACTATAAACCTCGCCGCTCTCCGTGGGCAAGCCTTCCTCAACCCAGGCGCGGAAGTTGTTCAAAATATGGACCTTTGGATGGCCAAAGATCTTCAACGACCAGCCAACCCGAGGCGCTGAGAAAATGCCGAGCTCTTTCGAGTCGTAGACAACAACAGTGTCCTCCTTGCGAATGCCCAACTCTGACATCGCGGCAGCAAAGTCCTTAGCACTCGGGAGCATGTGGGGGTACGGTGATCGTCGGTCAATCACCTTGTCGAGGTCGAAATAACGGGCTTTCGGGATTCGCTGCTTGCGAAACACCTGGATACCGGTCCGGCCTTCGGGGTCGTTGGGAAGGAACCAAGACGCACATAACGGAATCACGCGTGGATCTGTGCTTATAGAGGATGGCGGGTTCTTCTTGAGTGCGTCGTGCAATTCCTTGGGTGCCACCAGGTAAGAGGAGAACGAGCGCTTCGTCGTCGTAGAGCGCAGGCCAGATGTCGTGGAGAAGGCGGAGAAGAACTCGGCGCCGGCCCGGTACAGAACCAGGCGTGGAGTTCGCATCGTGACGGCGACGTGGGAATTTCAGGAGCGTGAGATTGGTGCACGATCGTCTTGTTTCCGCGCCAGGGTCTGTTTGAGAGATCTCGCCGGTGTCTAGTTTGCTATCATGAACTGTTATCCTGTCGTAGCAGCAAGTTCATCGACTGACTGCTTATACTACAGGCAGAAACCGGTTAGCCCTTTGTTCTCAGTCTAGCTTCCCCGGGCAGAGGCACTGTGGCCCTTACACCATGCTCCTTGGTAAATAAGACGTTCACTCCGTGCTCATAAATGTGTGGGGAAGAATCCAGTGTATCTCGTAGAGCGCTGCTCTGATATTGGAATGGTAATTTTTGAAAGATTGCAAAGTTGGGGAAGGGGAGGAAGGGAGAGGGTTCCTTCCGTGCTTTTCATACCGTGTACACGCCCAAGGCTGCAATACTCATTTCTCCGTCTCCAGCTTTTGCAGAAAGTCCACAAGTACGGCTCCAAATTGGTCGTGATAAGTGGTCAAACCCGAGTGTCAATGGACTGAGAAGGCTGCGGGGTTTTTTACCTCGTTGCATTTTTGTCGAATGCAAAGCTATGTTCGTTTGATTGGCTAGATAAATAGGGGACGCTTGCCATGCCTGATAGCTACTGACTCTCTCCCGAGCCGGGCACTGGTGGGGTTTTGAGCGCACTGGGCGTTAACTAATATTACTCCAAACTACTGTTTACGGAGGAACAATCAGCCATGCCTTACGACGTGCTACGCCAACTACAACGTAATTACTCCAAAGGGAAACCCCATTATCTTAATTTTGAAAAAAGGCGATATGCGTTCAGAACTCTCAATCTACCACACCGTCACAACCTGCTGACCGCAATCCGGTTCTCAACCCCTTCACAGTATGAAGGTGAAGATACAAAAATGGCACGGCGTTGCCACATGGCGCTGGGACCTTCCCGAAGACGATGTGTGTGGCATTTGCCAGAACCAGTTTGATGGCACATGTCCGACATGCAAATACCCTGGCGACGAATGCAGCCTTTGTAAGTCCAAGCACCCAACCGAACCTCTTATGGTGACTTTTTGATGTTGCTTGCGCTTGGTGCTTGCACGCCGTCCGCTTTGCGTCCGCTAGTCTCGTTTGCTCAGTGTTCCTGTGACTGATCACAACGGCTTTGTTAGTATCTGGCAAATGCGGTCACAACTTTCACATGGTATGCGCTCCATTTATTGTGCTTTAAGCCACAGGTCCAGAAGTTCCCTGGTGACCCGGCAGCTTATAATGGCTAACGGTCGCTATTTTTTTTGTTAGCATTGCATATCGGAATGGATCAAACAAGAGTCTGCCAAAGGCCAGTGTCCTATGTGTCGGCAAAGTATGAATGTACCCATCTAGGAAGCTCATGGACTGCCCGCCCTATCATCGGTGTTGTCCAAAGCGAGGGCCTCGACCACCTGGACAAGGCGCCTCATAATAGGGTGAAACGCGACTAACTGGTGCTCACTGTACAGAGTTCGAATGGGAAGGTGACGAGGAACCAACATCCTTGTCACAAGAGGACACAACTTTTGCGCCTGAGGTAATGCGCGAGACGTAGATCTTGGCGACGCGCTGTATCTCGACTGTGCTGCCGAAGCTACAAAGGACCTTGACGGAGAGCGCTGGTGCAACGAAAAGCTTAATGCTTGTTTGTCTACGCCTTCACCTGCAGAATAGTTGTCATGGCCTGACGCTTAAAGAACAAAAATGGCCACGAGAATACGAAATATTAATGAGACACCATTAGGCGTTGTGATGTTGCGGCACAGACTGTTGTTTTGTGAACACTGTCGTACGGAAGAGACCCTTTATACTCTGTAATTGAGTGAAAATCATAGCATTACTAAATCTTCTTCGAGAATCACGTGAATGTAACGTCTAATCTCTCGGCCGTATTTTTCTTACGCTTAATAGTTCCACTCCGCAGTGCCTTCTACGGCAGCCGTACTTTCGGCATAGGTACTCACGTGTCACGGTCATGTGCAACTCACAAGGAAACTTGAGCAACGCGAGCGTATTGCACCTCATCGACCGCAACAATCTCAATAACCCAAGAAGTTGTTGCTGCTAGTCGCTTCGTTCTGCTCTACACGGAGCTTTCCCCGAAGCAAATTTGTTGCGATACCATTCTTGCCGAAATGGGTAGCTCAAGCAACAGCACAGAGCGTCAAGATCAAAATGCCAGCCTCCAACCTTTAGCAAACAATACCGTACAGCGCGACGCAGATCGAGTATCTGGCTCGTTGGGAGCTTTTGAGGCTCTCGACAAGCTCTCTGACGGTCGTTGTCGGCGTACGCCTGGGACAATATCGCCCGACCAAATTGTTCCGAGCCTTCCTGATGAACCAACCATCCGAGCTCCATCCGCCTTTCCACAGCTAAAACCTTATTACTCGGTCGTTTCGGACGCCACAAAATCGTCCACGTCACCTGAGACGTTCTATCCTCGCGTCCGGTACATCTTTAACGACGATGATCCGGACTTGCTTGCAGAAGCGTTTGTGAAACAGCCCGGCGTCCTGCATACAAGAACAAGAACGCCGCACGCATTCTCTCATACGTCCGGAGAACCTCGAGCAGTCGCAGCCTCTCGGTTCCAGCGGTTTGACCCAAACCGAGCGCTTATACTCGAACTGGATATCACATCGGACGGTCAAAGATATACCGTTGCACATGCCGCTAGTTTGACGCCAGACTGGGCTGTCACAAGTGCCCAAGTGCAGTACCCTCAAACCGGCACGCCTGGTGATATGCTAAATGAAGAAGATGGCAAAGCATTGCTTCTTCATATTCGGGGGTCGGGTCTTTCGGCCGACCGGCTCAGAAATGATGAGGCGCCGATAATCGCAAATTTGACGCATAGATCGGACGGAATTATGACATCATCAGTGCAGGGTGGGAAACCCACACCTTCAGTGGAGAGATATGACTCGCTGGTACAATCATTTGAGACCCGTATGGCATTTTTGCACAACGTCGCTAACGCAGAGGAAGTATCTCGTTAAGGTGGATGGTCTCATGGCTATTGTAGGTCCCATATCACCAACACGGTAACCCCCGATATGATAATTTCAACCATTGCCCCAATAAGACTCAGCAGACGCAGCCATGTAACCATGATACACGTTGTATACAGTCCTCCTTTTGTGAAGGAAATCCATTTAACAGTTACCCTGGAAGATTTATGTCAATCTTGTATCTCAAGTGGTTATGAGGGATATTGGGTGGGATTTCCCGTGTTGCATTGACATTGATACATCGTGATCGCGTGAACATCGGCACGTTGTCCAATCAACTTAGTGAGAGGTAATCACAGCTTCAAGTTGATAGTAACGGAGAGAAATATAGAAGGCTGCCCGAATGCTGCAATATTGAGAAAGAAACCGATAAACTGGAACAAAATGGCACTGTCGATGAAGAACACAAATGAAATAAGCACCATCTCCCCCAGCCCCCTCTTCTTACAAATAGTACGGATAAAAAGAAAAGAAAACTAGAGCACTGTAAGTAAATGTGGCTGACTTCATATCCAATCGAACAGTGCTAAAAGGGAATGCAAATAAACGAGGAAAGAAATACAAATGAAATAGTGGCAGTACAGTCTACCCACAAAGGGTATAGGACGGCACATGGACCGTATGACGACAGAACATGACTGGGTGGCCGCTGTGGGGCACGTCGAGTTTTTAGAAGCCAATGCATGCTTATTAAAAGAAGGAAAAACACGATACTTTGCGTCACCTGGGCGGCAGTCGACGAGGTGAGACTCTTCGGTGTCGTGGAAGAGACGCAGCATCGAATGCATTTATGTCAACGAGTGTCGCCTTTTCAAGATGCGGTGTCATCTTTGGTGAAATCGGTATTTATGACGTACCGGCCGGATAGAGACGTCCGTGCGACAGCGTTCGCTAGTTCGTAGACGTGTGCCACCGACCGGTCATTGGCAAAGTCAAGGGCTCGCCCACCGATACTCCGTTTCTTGCTGCTGCCTTGTTTGTTGATCAAGACGTATACCACAACGATAATGACTATAACAAGAATGATTCCGACTGTGGGACAGTCTTGTTAGCAGGACACTCGCGTATAAGGCCAGGCGTATTGACAATCTGCCAGAGCTGAGAATACGTACCGCAGATACCCAGACAGATCCACTTCTTTTTCCGAGTCTTCCTGGCCGTGGTGACAGCAACTGCAATCTCCTCATTACCCTTGTCTATGTTCACGACAGCCTCCTCAGCCTTCTGCTCGATTTGCATAACATTGACTTCTTGCTGGACAATAAGTGTGTCCATGTCCTGGAACAACTGAGCCAGCTCGACCATTTGCTGTTCGATCTTCTGAAGTGCTGCATGCCGATCTTGGACGGCACTCAGAACGGCACGGGCCTGGCCACGACGGTCGCTCTGCATCATGGCCTGCTGGAACATTTGGCTACCAGCTGCCGTGTCTTCCACAATAGCACGGACCTCGGATTCCGATGCGTCTGGCCGCACGATACGATATTGTCGAGCCATCTGATCTTGTGTCTTCTTGCGAAAGGCCGACTCAACTTGCTGGTACGACTGGATCGCTTGTTTCAAGCGGCGATCAACGCGACCGACCTGTGGCGCATTTTTGGGTTGCTGGGCCTCCCTCTGGCTTTTTACTTGCCGCACCCGCTCAGTAAGTTGACGGTAGAGAGCCATAGTGTCCGACGCAAGAGCATCCAGCTGTTTCGACGTGGATGACCCAGATGAGTCGGCCTCGTTTAAGGATCGGTCTTGCAACATTCGCAATTGGTTCAGGTTCTGGTCGATTTGATCGATTCCCCGGTCGATGCTGCGGCACTCGTTCAAAATGGCATTCGGGTCGCCCGACGCAGCGAATGAGCCTGCATTTTGTGCGAGAGAGGCCATTTCCACGTTTCCTCCTGCAGGTTTAGAGAAACGATATTTAGTATGCGGAAGAGAGAATTCGGGCAACAATTAAACCATTTGTTCGTCTCTCTTAACGTACCTCCGTAGTCGTCACGCCCCATCGAAGGGGTTTGATTGTAGCGAGATCCAGCTCCACCCCCGGGGCGAGGGCCTTGGCCGAATGTTGCTTGCGGTGGTGCGCGCGCAGAACCACCGTAGCCGCCGTCCCCTTCCCCATTGCGGTCGTCGAAAGGGTTAGGTCTTCCACTGTACCTACCGTTTCACCCGTGTTAGCGAAAAAAAAACTTAGAAGCGTCCTGAAGGGCCGCATGCCAATATTCGCTCCGCACTAATGCCCATGATTTATTCCGTAGGGCGACAAAGACTGAGTAACCTGTCGAGGGTGACGGAGGAGCATTGGAGAGAACTAACCCGTACTGTGCCATGTTAGTCAATGCTTTGCATGTAATTATGACTGCTGACTGGAAAATGAAACTCAATGTCGAAGAAAGAAGGTTGAAAGTTGAGCATCGAAAGAGAACATCAACGAAAAGTGGAATGGCGAGGTGTGCAGTATGAAAGGAAGATAGAAGACTAAACAGATTCTAAGGATGGGAACGAGGATAGTGAGAGGGAGGTGAGAGAGAAATAGCATGGGACAGGTAGTTCAGCTGAGGTAAGAAACGGGACTGCTGAAACAGCCTACCAGAGATTGACACACTTACACTCATTTTGTCGGCGTACTAGCAAGGAGGCGTGGCAATATGTTGTCAGGCACGGCTTAGTACCAATTGTGTTGCATTAAGTGTCGCAGACCGGAGGTATGGAAGACAAGGTGCGTGCTAGGTACGTGCGTTGTCTGTGTTGAGTATGAGGAGCTGCAGACGAAGTGGAATCCAGGAATTTGTACAGGGAGGAAAGTCGAGACAACGGGGCGCGAGGGAAGCGCGTCGTTGAGTATCAAAGGGAGAAGGCAACGATGTGCTTAAGCGAAATGGGCAGGTAGTTAGTTGACCAAAGGAAGGGAAAGGAGATAAACTTAGCACGGAGAGGAAACGAGTGATAAATAAGAGGTCAAAAAGGAGAGAAGAAAATAGCAACAGAGAGATCAGAGAGGCATGAATTCTGCGAGAAGAGAGGACGATGGAGCAATAAGGGAGGAGTGTTACGAAAAGGGGCTGAGATGGAAATTGTTTGGCGGCGAGCGATCCTTGGCCAGTCTTTGGCACACAGCTGAGGCGTATCGTTACGTCGGGAGCTCCAACAGAGGTTTAGCGCGCCCATTGGCGCTAGGACGAGGTTAATTTTAGCACCCCGTTTGTGATAGGATTAAAAGTGATAGCGTATGGAAGGTTGGAATAAACTATGTGTACGGATAAGAAGGAGATTGGCAGTAATGGCAACGTATAAAGAGACGAGTATACTCTGTAGAATATTTACCTTCTACAGGGCCCCTAGGCCTGGCCAGTTCGCTGGGCCAGGGGTGACCGATCGCTCGGGGGGGAGGGGGGGGGGGGGGTGGGGGGGGTTGAAAGGAAGGGGCTAGGGTTCTGCCGTTACAGCCAAAATACTAAAACTCGTTTCAAAATGTTGATCCGCGAGTTAATTGAGCGGTTCAGTCGATGCTTCATCCCTTTTTCATGACATCCAGCTGGAGCAGTGAACTTCCTGATCTGACACCTGCTCACTCACATTACTTCTACAGCCAGTTCATGCAAGGAACGAGAAGAAGTATTCTGACAAAAAAAGAAAATGTGGAAAGAACATCGTTTGTCACAAATAAGTATGCAACCAATAAAAGCCATTCTCGGTATGTATCTTACGATGTTGTGTGATAGAAAACACTATCTTACCAGAGAAGCTTTTCTAATAGTGAACGGCATGTGTTATAGGGTACTTATTACGTCGCATCTTTTCCCCATTCACGAAACTCTGCTCGTCAATAGTTGTAAGAACAGATTATGCATCAAGTTGGGCCCATTACCACATCTGGCCTGAGCAGCCAGGGGCTCAATCCATCCCGTCCGACCTCCGGCAAAAGTTCGCCGTTCCCGGCGTCGACATCCGTAAATAATATACGGAATTTTTCACAAGCATCAGCCACACCAGACTTCGATGTGGTATTTGGGGCCGGAGCACCGTCCCTTCTCAAAATACAGCATACGCAGAGGCGTAACTCACGCTCGAGTCCGAGGTGGAGGAGGCGAGTTCGCTTCGGTCGTATTTCACAAAAGCAAACTTCTTCTGCCCTTTCCCTCCAGCAGCCGCTATGGTTGTCGTCTTTGTAGCGAGCAACTCCAATGCCGCCATGATCACGCTTATGGGATGCCGCCCGCAAATGGTGTTGTCTGTCAGGCGAAGATACCTGACGAAGTCTGCTTGCACTCCGGTTTCAATAATTTTAAACGCAGCCTCATCAAGCGTACGGATAAATTCGTGGATAGGCGGTTCCGAAGGCCCAGGGCGTGAACCACCTCGAGGCGAGAGCGAGCGGATTTGGGTAAAATCAGCTCCGGGGCAGTATTGCCAGAACTGAAAGTTTCGGCCCCAGTGGCAGAAATCGGAACTGACAACAAACGCATTCTGCGGGTCTTCCAGGTAAGGTAGCAACATCTCGCCGTAGTCTTTCTCTGCGGAACCGTCACCATCGCCAACCATAATCGGAACGAGGGTGGGCCATGTACGGTTGTTGCCTACGGTCCTTTCAAGAACCTTCCAGATATATGGGAGGTGCATCTCGAGGCTATGCTCGCGCACGTCGTTGTGCCGCGGAATGTCGCTGAATTTTCCAGTTGCACGGAGCTCGGCCAGAGTATCCGCGTCGATTTCGAAGTCGCCAAATGGCGTTGCAAACCTCTCGAATGTCGTCAGAGCACAGCCGCGCAAATAGAATGTATGGCTGGGTCCGAGAACAAAAACGCGCTTCGCATGTCGAAGATCAAGCGACTTGTAGGCCCAGGCAGCACATGGGCCAGAATACTGATAACCAGCGTGTCTGTTCAACGAGCCAGGCGGTCACTGCGTCAATGGAGACTTCATGGAAACGAAGGTTGCGGCGTATCCATCAAAAGACCAGACGTGAAATCTCAAACGGAGGCAGGGGGTGGGGTAATAACATTACTCACGGAGCAATGACTGCCCTGGCACCGGGAATGGGGAGGGCTTGTCCATTGATGGACGCCGGAACACTATCAAGCCACCTATCCAGCTCGTCTGAAAGTTCGCCTTCATCGGACGTATACCAAGACCCAGCGTGGTCAGCAGCGCGCGTGCCTCTTAGTGCCATAGCGTCGGTCGAGCCACGGAGCAAAACGAAAGAATCGGTCAAAAGGGTCAGTAGCGAGAGGTATAGCCTGGTAATAAACAGTAAGAAGATTGTTGACCGTAAAAGGGCCGTGATAAGGCGCCCGCGCAGATAGACAACGAGTCGGGCCTCGGTTGTTGGTTGTGATGCATTAATTATGTCGTAAATCCGTGACAGAATGTGACATAGAGACACTAACTCAACGACCCCACGAAATAAATGTCAGGGTGGACTAACGGATATCGGCGTATTTTGCAGCACGACTAAATGTGTGACCCGTCGTAATTACTCATTCGTGCAGGCAATTAGTTACAGGCGACGAAGTATTGACGTCGTGCGCCGTACCGGAAACAACTTACAACCAAAACCCTGTTCACGCAAATTGTTGTTCCGTCTTGCCGGGATCGTAAATATATTAGCGCCAAGCAACGTCGCGCTTAACCTTACCACTGGAGCTTAGAAAAAGGTCTCAAGGCGCCTGAATAATGATTTATGTGACTTTTAAGGCTTAATTGGCACACGAACTTGACAGGATCTTCTACACTAACCCACTCCCCGATTCATCGTCAGATACGCCTGGTAGCAATACGTTACTACAAGCACCACCAGCATTCCACAAGCCCTCCACGAGGAGTTCTAATATCAAATACGGACAGCCTGCACCCTACCTCCCTTGGCGCCTTTAATCAACACGGCGTACGCGGCCAGTCTCGACGCTATAAACCCAACCACTCACAGTGACATCATCCGGGATGGCACTATGTTTTTTGAAGAAAAGTACATCGTCGCGCACGGCTTGGTCCAGATCCGGAAACGCCAGAAAGTCGAGAGTCGCAATCTCTGTAGCGGCTTCCGGCCCCAAATTCTTTTGCACGAGCACATGTGCATCCTCATTGGTAAAAGTTAGCATTCCACAGCCGGTGTGCTTGATGAGAACAATCTCATGGGTCCCAAGCAGCTGCTCTGAGATCAGAATGGACCGCAGGGCGTCGCGACCACTGCCCCCGGCGTTGCGAATCACATGGGCATCGCCCAAGCCAATTCCAAACGCAGCTGCGGGATCAATGCGTGCATCCATACAGGTAACTGCGGCGAAGGAAATTTGTTAGCAAGACTCCTGGATCAGGCGCCGGTTGGAGGGGGGGGAAGCGTAGCAACGTCAGAGGGGACTGGACGCCGTGTTAAAATAAATCAGTGGTAATATACCAACTAAGTACTTCTTCCCGGGCGGAAGCGGTAAGTCTCCTTTGGTAAATGCTGCCGCGTAGGCGGCATTTTTCGCCTGTAGGCTTGTTTGTATATCGGTCGTCATTAGGGACGGAAAAGGTGGGGAACGGTGTAGTTGTCTCTTGAGTTTTGTCGATTCGTTTTGAGTATGCTTGGAGATATTGTTCCAACGAGTTCCTTTATATTATGCGATGGGACATAAATGTAAAACGCCAGATGAGATGCGGGCCCTCGAAATATACCCGTAGCGGACGTTGGTAAATATGGAATGGCGCAATTCTCATTGGGTTGAGTAACATCAATCGCGGATGCCGCCTTGAGGGGTAGCGAGAAAGGGCAGGCGAGTGGCTGGAAAAGAAAGTTGTCGACTAGCAAGTTTCTATTTACAGCCTCTCATTGGTGGTCATGCTAGAAGTACATAAGGTGCCAGTAGTGACGAATTTTCGCAATTGGCAGTCCAAGATGCATACATAGGAGCTCAAGATAGACCAGTTTCTTAACGAGGACTGGCATGTACGGAATACCGTCGTGGAAAGAAAAAACAAAAGGCCAAGACAACTTCGCACGGATCAGGACACAAGCAATGATGGAACGAAGGCTGCACAACAGGTATAGAAAGTGCATAATGGCTTCGTTTTTCTTACATACCAGCATTATCCCTACTTATTTATCTTGGCTCGTAGATCTGTGACTTGTCAATCTAACTGTCGTACATTTCTCGCCAAGCTAACCCTGGTGAGTCCTCTCTACGGCAGGAAGGCATTCGGCACCAGGTCTTCAGAAGGGCTTAAATACTACGCAAACTCTACCTACGTCACGTTGGCTTCATACCATCATTGCATGGTCCATTTTACGAGCCGCGGCATTTTGGCGCCGTTGGTGACATATTACAGGGTCGCCACGTGGAAGAAACAGGACAAGACAAAATAAGAAGGATAAGAAGCCTTTGAATTTCAAAGACAAGAGAAATAAATTATTCAAGTTTGCAGGCGGGCGGGTGTGTGGCCTGTTGCCAAGCGCAGCAACATCAAGATAGTTAAGCCCGCAGGATTAAAAGGGTATTTTGCTGATTTTAAAAGCTATTTTCGAACGAGAAGACCAAGACAGCATAAGAAAACGGTTTAACATAAGCGGAAAAGTTATCGGAGCGAAGTGACGCATTTGCGGTCATAGCCGGTGCCGGCCAACTGAGGTCGCCAGAAAATATGACGCCTGTCGAGAAAGGAAACAGGCGGACATGTCCGTGGATTTCCTCGCCAGAGCGATACTAGATCAGTGGTGTGTTTAGTCAGACAGGCCTGCCGGCTTTGCCTTGCGCGACTCGTAGCCCTGCTCTGACCAGGGGAAGTGGAAGACAGGGACAACAAAGAATGAGTTGCTGGAGAGACGTAAAAAGTCAGTAACGAACAAGGGACAAAGCGGTAACAAAAACGAGACTGTGGTTTGTGCGCCATGAGGGGAAAACAGTGTCGGAATGACATCAAGCCCGTTGTCTGGCAAATATTTTCCAACAATGGTAAATGACAGAAGATAGTGGAGGAAAAAAAAACAGATATAAACTGTCCTCGTTTAAAGGGGGTAGGGGTTGAACGAGGGTCGTCCTCCAACAAGTACTCTGAGTTCGGGATGAGGAAGGATGTGGAGAATACGCGAACTAGTTCAGTTGGAGGCAGATGGATTGGCCTAAATTTGTAGACAAGATTGGAGGAGGACAATGCATTTAAAATGTTGGGGGTGCTGGAGGGAAAGAGAAGATAACATAAAAAGAGAAAGCGCAAGAGAAGAATACAGAAAGCAATAAATACGAAGGGACAGACGCAACAAAGGAATAGACAGCAGGCCGAGGTGGAAAGCAGCAAAGCAAGACAGAAACCGAGGACTTGAGAGGGGAGAAGGGGGGAAGAAGCGATCACATACCTAGAATCAGCAATACCAGCAAACGCGTTGTACCAGGCGAGGAAAGCCGCGAGGAGGCCGAAAACGCCGCCAGCCTTGTTCAGGTTCGTGGCAGTTGAGGCATTGCCGTTGTCAGCTGTAAAGGCGCCAACAGCAAGGAACAGGAAAGCCAGGTCAAGGGTGAAGAAGAGGCTAAAGAACATGACAGTCGAGCGAAGGGTGAGCAAAAGCATGACTGTCGTGAAAATGAACCAGCCAGTGAGGTAGAATCCAAGGGCAGCGTCAGTTCGGTCGGCGCCGCCTTTAGTCGCGCTGTACGCAGAAAGGAGGTCCCACTGAGGGTTCAACAGGATGGAATATGACAGCCAGAAGCCGCCGTATGAAGACAACGCGGTCGCACCAAACGTGTTGCCAACGGCCATTTCCCTAGGGTGGCATTAGATGCTTGAAGCGACTATGACGCGGGAGAGCACTAAACTTGCGTTTCAACACATACCACATGCCAGCAAGAAGCTGAACGAGACCACCATACCCAAAGGCCAGAGAGGCGACAACGTTGGGCTCCGTTATACCGCGGGTTTGAAGGTTGATGAGAGATAGAACAAATGTCGTCAGGGCAAAAGCGCTGAGACCCAGGGGCGCTGGGTTGGCAAACTTGCGATGCGCAATGGGCTTGTACAAGCCAGGCTGGAATTCACCGCCGAATGCCGGGAGACGGCCCTCGGGGTCCTGGTATGACTGCGAGTGGTAGAGTGGGTTGCCGCCATAGTCAACACGGTGGACGGCCTGAGCGCCGTTGGGAGCAGCACCGGTCGCGGCGCCAACGTCCTTCTCAGCGCCAACGGGCGCAGCTGCCTCGGTGGATGCCATTGGTGGTGGGTGTTGTTGATGTGTTAATAGTTGGATGAAAAAGTTAACAAATGTCGACCTTGACAGTGGCAATATAGATGCAGACCAGAGAGCTCGTGTACATCCAATGAGATCGGACCGTCTTCTCATAAGAAAAAGGAAGAAGCGGAACAGGAGAAGGAAACGGACGAAGCGGGAAATTGGGCGAGGTGTTGTTTATATGCTGGTGAAACTGGACCTCAGAACTGGCGCTGGACGAGACTGGGAACTGGGGGTTGATAGGCCAAGCTATTTTGCAAGGGAGGGGGGATCTCCAACGAAGACGGGGGCAACGGACTCGGGAGGCGAAAGTCAGGATAGAAGCTGTCTAGTCGCGAAGGTGGAGTAGGATCGAAAAAAAAAATCCGAAATAAAAAAAAGGTCATATGGCCGAACCCTCGATTTAGAGTATTACTCCCTGCCTCCGTAGGACGGAAAGAGACGAGAGGAACGGGAATTTGGACAGGACAAGTCTGAACGTCTGAAGAGAGACAGAGAGAGAGAGAGAGAAAAGGGTGAGGATCAACACGAAAGGTGTGGAAACAAACACGGAGATCAATCAATGGGAAAATGGAACGCAAATCGCCAAAAACGGGGCAAAATTAGGCCCCATGTAAGTTGTGCAAGTGTTCGAATGGCATGCAAGCGGCTGATGTGACAAAAATATAGACACATCACCTTGCCAGATGAAGAGATGCGCGTGGCACATATTACGACAATATATGCGCATATGGGCCACAAACATGCACAGAACTAGGGACACGGGAGAGGCGTCGTGGCTACATGGGCCTCTTGTACAATATACCATCCATGGTCCAGGGCTGCGTAGCTAACTTACGTGGTCCCGACGACGTGCCAATCACCCCCCAACTTGCAGGCCCCAGCGAACTTTTTGACGGGCATGTAGCAAGTACAAAGGTCAAAGTACAAAACACATTTACCGGTGAGCTTTCTAAATGGTCCGGCGAGCGGCAGAGAACGGACGACGACCTAACAGCAGCGCCAAAGAGCAAACAAGATTACTGGTGCACCAATGACACACTAGCACACCATCTTCGGAGACAAGGATGTGCCAGGACAATGGGCCATGTCAATTCGAGCCATGGAGTGGCCGAGTCGCTTCCCTTGAGAAGATCCACGACTGCGACGTGTCAGGACGGCTGGCCAGGCCATGCCACAGCACCCCGTACCATGAGTGCCGGGGTGCCTCTGCGACGTATTACTCCGTATTACACGCAAGGACGAGAACAAACAGCTGCCCGTATCTTATGTCTAACTTGGGGCCCAAATTGAACATCGCGGGCCTACTGCTGCCAGTTAGGTGAAGACGAAATAAACGGCGGAACATCGAGAAAACCCACTGACTATGAACCTAAGAGCGGGACAAGGACATATTGTATATGTACGCAGCATGTCATTAATGCGTGTGGGTGATGATCGCCTGCGCGTTGCAATATATTTGAAGCCAGCACACCGGCCAGTTGCTGGTCACAAATGGCGATAGGGCGTATCACGAATGGGCAGAGTCAGAGAAACGTAAACCTTGGCCGTTAGGATTTCGATGGGAGAGAACTCCACCAGGTCGGCTTTCTTGCCAAGATTTTTACCTCCTTTTTGTTTTCAATCTCTCTGTGGCCGTTCCCCCCTGACCACCTGTTTCCATGAGGATTTGCAGTCTCAAGGAAGGCACAGGTTTACCAAAAGAGGGGAATGTTCGGAAGGGGGGGTGCATCCCGGGGAAAGGGAACTTGGGGGGATCAAAGGTCGGGGCCTTTTTTAGCACGATGTTTTCGAAGTCGGTGGGACCCTTGGTTCTGACAAGCATACCACCTGTTTCCACGCCTCAGAGGCGCCAAATAGACAAGTTGACCTAAGGGCAACTCACCTAATGATACAAGGTGGTTACTGTACAAGCTGAATATACGAAGTACAAAGCAAACATGTGCTAGTTGGCCATAAGGCGACAAGAGACGCAACACACTGCCCCCAGGATCTCGGTCCTACGTAATTACGCCTCTGTAAAGTTAGTACACATACTGGTCAGGTGGGGGTTCTCAAGTGTCGGCGGGGATACTGAACACTCGAGAGTTCCTGGAGAATATTGTTCAAAGCATTGCTTTCGTAAAAGACTCAATAACTCGCAAAGTTGGGCTCTGTTGTGAGTGCCTCGCGGGCGTCTTCCCCAGACATAAAAGACGTGCCTCCGGTTCACGAAAGTGATCGACCGCAAGTCGCCAGACCACCTGCTGCAGGCGGTTTCGTCGTCCCCGCAAACATAGGCAACCAGGTGGAGCTAAGGTGGTTTCACTCCACTGTACCAGTCCTACTTTGGACTAGTAATAAGAGCGTCCACCAGAGCAAACGGTTCGTTGTGGTGTTAACACCAAAGAATACCGTGTGCTCTGTCGGAGGGCTTCCCTGATCAGAAGGCGCTCTGGCAATTTTGTCGGACAAGCAAAAAGAAAAGCTCCATACAGAGTAGAGCAAAAATAAAAATAAAAAGCCCCAGCCCGGCAAATAAGGGAACGCGAAGGTAGAATTGGCAAGGGTAAAACAGGCTAAATTTAAAATATACGAAAAAGGAAAGGAAAGGAAGACTTTTCGTTGCGGGCGACGATCCGTCACTCTCCGCCCCTTTAACCCCACCCTTGCTGGCCTGGTCCACCAATACAAACGAGAGAGGCCATGGGATGGATGATGCTGCTTCCCGGGTCCTCTACCCGAATAACAAAGACGGGCTTTTCCTGCGACTATCAGACCCCGTAGTCCGTATATGGTTGAAGGGTACTTTTACCGTTGCGCTTTGCCCCATTTGAATTATCCTTCTGGCCGAGATTTTTTTGTTTTGTTTTGTTTTGTTTTGTTTTGTTTTGTTTTGTTTTGTTTTGTTTTGTTTTGTTTTGTTTTGTTTTGTTTTGTTTTGTTTTGTTTTGTTTTGTTTTGTTTTGTTTTGTTTTGTTTTGTTTTGTTTTGTTTTGTTTTAGCTCCATAGCCTTCGTCAAGTAAACTGAGCGGAGGGCATTTACGAAGTAAAACGGGATGTTCTGCCAAACACATCGAACCACAGGATTGAGTAGCATCGCACCAGAATCTGTGTTGATTGGTATCCACCAATCCAAGGATGCTAGTTCCACAAATCCACAAATGGAATGGCTGCCGATGGAACCTCGGCCATCGTTGGCCGTCGTGCCCGGATTTCAATGTACTAGGCCCGAACCAAGAGAAAAGAAAACACTGAGAAAGGCCTGGGGGGATGGGGGGAGGCCCAGTCAGCGTGCGGAGTGAGCAAAAGGGTATTGGCCCATAAAAAGGGTCCGAGAACAAAGAGACAACAATCAGAAGAACACCACACAGGTAGCAATGATGGGTCTTGGCGAGTAAGGAAAACAATTGAAAAGAGTTGCCTGATTTACCAGATCTCCCGCTTGGCCACCAAACAAAAGGCATATTACTCCATAATAATGTCTTAGCACTCTAACAGTACGAGGCATCCCACCATCTAAAGTACGCTATTTTTGGCAGAGAGCCAGACATTAGCGACAAGCAAGCAAAATAGCCAAAATGGCACCCTCCCGTATTGAGAGCGAGACGAGAGAGTTGCGGAGTAAGTGACGAAAGCACCGAAAGCGCCGAAAGATTTCGCGCCCTTTTCGCGCGTGGAATACTAAGTGAAAGGATGCCAGCTGAACGACACATGTCGTATTACGTTTTGCGTCTTACCTTGAACCCGGCATGAAGTACGGTATTACAAACTATGCTTGTGGCCAGTTCGGAGACCTCTGCCGTTTGTCTTTCTCAACCGTATTAGGAGACTACTTCCGAGCGTATACTCCGCAATGCTCAGTACGTTACCAGACGAAGTAAGGAGCAAAGCGATACGAAAGGGGAAGCTGTCGTCAGGCATAACAAAAAGTTTCATCGTACGTACGACGTACAGTGCATTAAAATACGAGCTACTCTGTGAGTGTACTAAGTAACACTCCATACGACTTACAACGTATAAAATAAAGGGGGTCATTGCATATGACTGCGGCACAGTACCAAAGATGGGCCGCTTCACCCTTGGGAGTTCTGGAGGCTTCGTTTGTATTTTACAAAAGGTCCCACTGGAGGAGAGATGTGCGAAAATGAAGCAGCGTTGCAACCAACATGCGGATACATTGTGTAATGGAAAAGACAACGAGTTTCATTAAGTGAAGTAATGACCGTTCCCCTTTTCTCGGTCTCTCTGTCGCTCTGTCCGTGCCTGTCCTGTTGGAGGGACCCCTTAATTTAATTACGAGCACGAAGTAATCTTGGATGAAATACTACCACATCTCTCATACCAAAAAGAGTATCGCCATTCCTCTTACGACGTACATATATGTGACGTAAAATATGTGGCAATAGGACTTTCAAGACGTCGGGCGGTTAATCTTGTAAACATATGTCACGGAAAAACAAGCTCTCCACGTGGAAAATTGTTAGGTAAGGTTGCGGTCAGGAACGAGTCCGGGACGTTCTCGAGCAGAACCCGACGTTCACAGCACTGGGATGCTGTGCTATACAAGTATGCATTTCAATCTAACGGTGTGGTCGGACGGTGCGTCATGATTCAGTTCAGTTCGTATCATAAAATAAGAGGTGAACTTTATGGATTCGCGTCTACAGCCCTCCATCCCCAAGTACGCGACTTCCTCACGAAGTATAAATTAAGTCGTAATTACGAGCCAACATATTTGCGCTTGCCGTACGTCGGTCACATAGTGCACTACCGAAATCTACTCCTAGATCGCAAGGCGGTTTCCCTACGGGCGCAAAACACATGGCCTATGGCGCCTTATCAAATACAGCTCATCATACGACTCTGTATATAGTACACCCGGTTCTTGTTCGGTTCAGACGGAACGCAGGCAGTGAGATACTGGGGATACCAATCCGTGGCACTGGTGTCGATGTGTTTGTTGACGTTCTGATGCCGTTTTGTAACGGGCCGGTCGGCCGATACGTTTTCACTCTGTCCCATCTGCACTGCCCCGTGGTCCGTGCTGGCGTTGATGTACGACGTATGGAGCACAATAATTAATGCATCATCGCTACACGGCTGGGTCTGCTGTGCACATAGGTTGTCAGTGGCATAGGCTTGTTTTGCGTGCAGTAGGACCAGCTCTCTCAACTCACCAAAACGCGCGAACTTTCGTACGAGTGGTGGCGGGTGAACGAACCGCAAACTGTCACGCCGAGGTTTGCAAAATGCCTTCCGCCAACCCAGCGAATCGCAGTGTCGATTTCGTAATACTCTGTACAGTGTCAAACAATGATCCAGTTACGCGGCAAGAGCTCAGTCGCGCCGCGCCAACACGGACTACTTCCACAAATCGTCTCTCCGTCTACTGTCAGAAGGACTAGTCACGGGATGTATCATACACGTGAACCATATCTTTCATATTAAACCACCTACGCCGTAAGCACGAAGGCCTCCGTTACTATGATTATGGCGTATATTGGTTGCCAATCTCACAATTCAGGGGCTTGCCCCCCCCCCCCCCCGGGCGGGAAGTTAGAAAAAAGAAAGAAGTAAAGAAAAAAAGAAAAAGAAAAAAAAAAAAGAAAACGGCCCAAAGAACAGACTCGTCACGTTTACACCTACAACACGCCCAGCCCGAGGTGGAAGCAAGTCCGCATTTAAGCTGTCCTTTCCGAGTCCCCATCACGCGACAGCAGACGCATGTCGGGCATCTTTTTTTCTTGCCTGATTTGCCAGCCAATTTTCCTACGCACCAGGTATGAACATGAAGGCGGGCGGCTCTCACCATCATCCGCCCATGCTCACTTCCGACAGCCTATTTTCATGGAACCGTGTGCTTCATGAGACCATGGGGCGCTATCACACGCTGTTCAGAAGACCGGTGTGTACAGAGGATTGCGATCCCATCACCGCCAATGCCGGCCTCAATTAGCTTTAACGAGCATTCGCACCCACAGAACCCAAAACGAACCGCAAAAGAACTCAAAACACTATGACCTCGTTTGGCCAGGGGAGATGGGCCATCATTGTGGTCGACTCGGGACTGGCCGGCCTTGCCGCCAACCCGGCCGCTCTGCATTGAAATATCACGGACGTTGTGCTGCTCTAGCGTGCCACAGCACCGGAGGTAACAGCGCCAAAGCGTGCCCGGGCATAAACGACATCCCTGCCCGTCTCCAGAACCAGTCACCACCGGACACAGCCTTCTCTTCCGACGCTGTGAGAAATACCGGGAAATGGATGCTCCAACCCGCGCCTGGTGATGGCCAGCGAAAGCGACACATCAGCCTCCTCACAGAAGAGCTCCGCGTCCGCAATCAATTTCTTGGCGGATGAAATCCTCAGTGCCGTTGCTGTGAGAGCGCTCCTCGACCATGGGCCCAGTAGCCTTCGCCACGAGTGAGTTTACTGGGGGTACGGATGACATTCTCGCCGCACATCTTCCGGATCTTGCTAGTCTTCCTTGCACAAACAGACCGAGGCCACACATGCACAGCTTCCTGGCCGCCGCTGGGGGCCCTTGGTCGACATGGATATTGTACATGTCTATCCTACTGGTTTCGTTGATCCCTTTGGCCGACCCATTCCCACACGTGAAATTTCTCGCAGCAAAACTTATGCGAGGAGAAGGTGGGATTCTCTCTCTTGTCGCAGCCGGTAAATCAGGTAAATTCGGCAGGCTTGGATTTGGCCTGGGCACTGGTTGCTAGTGCAGAAGACGACACGGAAGTGCGTGTAGGGCAGGTAATGCCAGTGACGCATTTTACTATGGGAGGCGTTACTATAAACGATAAAGCAACGTTTATCATCGGCCCTTGGAGCTCAATGTAAGACAACATACATTGATTATGGCCCGCAGGTGATGTAACAGGTGGCATAGATGATGGCAACGGTCTCAGGGGTTCGTCCCTGATGTGCATTGTCTTTTAGCGTATCGCCGGGGGACAAATCGCAAACCGAGGCAAGGATTGGCGCGAATCGTACAGCAGCAGCTACAAGTAGTCTAGCTAGCCACCGCCCTAACGTGTATCCAAAACCCATTCTTCGGTCGAGCAAAGGTGTGACAATCATTGCATTTCACTTCAATTAAGCCTTCACACGAACCTAGTTTCTGTACTTGGTTTGGCCATTGTACCACCGAACCTTTCCCTTTCATCAACGATTCCAGTTCTCAACTAAACCCCAAAGGCCATGCCACTTAGTAGCGCTTGCCGTCTCTCAGCGTGTCTGCAAACTCCTCGAGGGGACTGCGGATCAGCTTAGTTTCCTTCCAGAGGTTAGGCGTCAGGAAGCCGTAGGTGTTCGAAACAGCTGCGAAGGTGGCCTTCAACGTGTTCTCAAGAGTCTTGGTAGAGCCGGACGACGACGTATACACGTCTTCAATACCGGCCAGCTGAAGGAGGCGCTTGACAGCCGGGGAAGCAACAAGCGAGGTACCACGAGGAGCCGGAATAAGCTGCAACACTGGTTAGCACAATGGCCACATAATGAAGACATACCCAACTATAGCGGATTCCGTCCGGTCAGAATCAATGCGGGTCAAATGGGAGTCAACATACGCGAACTGTGACGGAACCGCACTTTCCGCTCTCCTTTGTCGGGATCGAGTGGGGGAGACCAAGGTTGGTTCCCCAGTAACCACGACGAACGGGAATCACGCTTAGCTTGGCAATAATGATAGCCGCACGGATAGCCGTTGCCACCTCCTTAGAGGTTTTGATACCGAGTCCGACATGGCCCTCTGAATCACCAATGATGACAATGGCCTTGAACCGGGTGCGCTGGCCGGCACGGGTCTGCTTCTGGACAGGCTTGATCTGAATTGGCGCCGGTGTCAGTTACGCTCTCCGTGGACTTCAACAGTTCCATGTAAAGGACAGGTCCAAAAAAGATTGTGGCAGGTGCAGCTAACTTACCTTCATGACCTCGTCTTTCAGCTTCGGCAGGAAGAAATCCACGATCTGGTATTCCTTGATCGGGAGAGAGTGCAGGTAGATCTCCTCCATGCTCTTGATCTTGCCAGCTTTGACGAGACGCCCGAGCTTGGTAACAGGCTGCCACTCCTTCTCGTCATTCTTGCCGCCGCCCCGACGGCCGCCCCGACGGCCTCCGCGACCGCCACGGCCACGGTCACCGCCACGGTCACCACGAGAGCCAAACCCGCCGCCGCGGGGAGCGCTGGTTCCTCTGTCGGCCATTGTATCGAAAGTTGCGAAAGATGTTGTTCAGCGATAATTCTCGGTTGCGGTTTCGGTGGTGTTCCGTGCGAGGTGCAAATAACAAATTTCGACCAAAACATGTTAAAAAAGACGGAGTAGTGGAAAGCTCGAGAAAAAAATTAGTTGGATCCAAGTGTGGGGCCCCAAAACTGCCCTAAAAATATAACCCTAGGAGGATCAAGTCACGTGTGCAGCTAAAATCTCCAGGGTGGGCGGGAATAGCTCACATTATATTATTATCTATGTACATTCGTAAATAATTTATGGGACTCCACCGCTGATGGAAGCGCGCAAACTAACAACTCGAATCTGAATTCCCGCAGGTAAGGTTGCTGCTATCACCACCACCACAACCCATTCCTTTGTTTCGTAAAATATGACAGCATCCAGCACGGCTTCGCCGGCACTTCCAGTCGGTTTCTCATTGGAGTTACCTCGAGAAGGACGGCGACTCAATCATGGCCAAGCAAGTCGACCTGCAACGCACCACGGAATTGACGAAATAGTCGACACTTGCTCGGAGGATGTTCCCTCGCAACCCCTCACTCCAATCTACCCCGATTCTACCGGATCCATGACCAAGAACGAGATACGGTCCGCAAAATCGGGCCTTCCCCGGCGCTTCAGTGGCGTACCTGACCCCAGGTCTCCTCCCGTTGTTGTTGACAGCGGGATCGTTCACGAATTAATTCACGTCAACTGCACCCCAATGCCCGGCGTCTCGCCTTCTGGGAATCGATTGATCGCCACGATTTTCTATAGGGGACACAGATCCGAACGCATCATCCATCGTCGCCAAGTAGCTCCGTCACCAAGCAACACTTTCGGGAATGGTTTTACTCCGGCAGCTGTGAAGTGCGACTCTTTGAAGGAATCTGATTCCATTGCTGCTGACGAATTACCAATGAATCTAGCGCCTACCACCCAACCTTCTTCGTTTCCGTTAGAACTCCCAGCTGCTGAATCCGAACCACCTCGTGATGGCATCTACGGTGCTTACGTCAGCCCCATCTGCATCGCCGCGTTTTTACACCTGATGTCAACGTTTCCACGCCGCCATGTCGTCGATAATGAAGGTCATAACATGGCACGGGGTATACACGCCGCAGGCTCTTCTCCAAATCGGGCATATTCCGGAGGGCTTGGATCTGAATTGGAGGCTAGTTATCGCTATCTCGATAGGGCCGTACAGCCACATGTCGTCGAGGTGGTTTTAGGTCCGGCTCCGTCTCTGCCTCTGTCTGACCTACGCAGGCACGAGCAGCTTTACCGGTTTGAGAGTGAGTGGGGTGTCGAGATAGCATTGCAGGATGATACACCCTGGCGCCGTCATCCTCGGCTGGTTGTTTTCGACATGGATAGCACATTGATCACCCAAGAGGTGATCGACATGCTTGCCGAGACCATGCCGCCAGATGTTGCTGCAAAGGTGGCAGATATCACGGATCGTGCCATGCAGGGCGAGCTTCATTTTGATGATGCATTTCGCGAGCGGGTGCGTCTTCTGGCAGGCCTCCCAGCAACGCTATTCACTGATTTGCGATCTCGTCTCGACGTGACCAAAGGTGTGACTGCGCTTCTCGTAGCGCTTCGCAGGTTGGGAGTTAAAACTGCGGTCCTCAGTGGCGGTTTTCAACAGTTGACTGGGTGGCTAGCGGGTGAACTCGGTATTGATCATGCACACGCAAACAACGTTGTCATAGGTCAAAACGGTTTACTTACGGGCGAGGTCACGGGTGCTATTGTAGGACGCGAGCGAAAGTGCGAACTTTTAAAACAAATTGCAAAGGGTGAGGGCGTTGACCTTAGACAGGTCATTGCAGTTGGCGACGGAGCAAACGATCTGTTAATGCTTGGGACGGCAGGCCTGGGCGTCGCATGGCACGCAAAGCCAGTCGTCCAGCTGGAGGCTGATGTCCGTTTAAACCAGCCTTCTATGCTCGATCTGTTATACCTTCTAGGTTTTACAAGTATGGAAATAAACGACCTTTCCATATAAAGAAATTTTTAAATAATAATAAAACTTCTAATTATATACGTATTATTTAATACTAGTGGGTTGTTAAGAGTGTAAAGGGATAAGACTTTATAGTAAAAAGAAAAGGTGTCCATAAATAAAAATGTAAGAGAGGATATAGTTTTAAATATTAAATTACAAACGGGACATTTATTTAATACAAAGGAATAAATACCTAAGGCCAAAATAAGGTAACCGTAAGTATAACTTAGTGAAGGAGAAGAATAAAAGAAGAAGATAAGAATGTAGGTGTACTTAAGTTCTCGAAACTTTCGTTTAAACGACCATTTTACGATACGTGACCGTTACGAAAGGCTTCTTATATATTTTATTAAAGTGAAGGGAGTTTATAAAGTTTTTACAGAGTTTTTATAAAGTTTTCTTAGTCTCGTCGTTAATCGTTTTAAGACGTGTAAATAATAATAAAACTTGTCCGAACCTTCCTTTTCGTTTTTATTATAATCGATTCGTGGTCGAAGGTTACGAGTTAAGTGACTAGGTTTACTTAATAAGGCGCGGTGTGGTTAGTCCTTAACCACACGTTAACGCCACGTTAATAAGAAGCCTTTCTTTTTAAATAAGAGGACTCCCTTCTTCCCTTTAAAAAGAAGGGGTAAGAATTAGTCTTTATTATAATATACATTTACTTTCGTTCTTAAATCTAGTGTTTTTTATTAATTAATTTATTATAAAGACTTATTTTATAATTATTTATAAATTTTTTTTGTTTTACGGATACCTTTTTATAATAGTTAAAAAAAAAAGTAATAAACTTACCCTTTTATAAGGAGAAAGAGAATCGGCAAGTTATCGTTTATCGATCTTACTTATATAACCGAAGGGGGTTAAAAGCTCGACCAGAGTTTTAATCTTATATAAGACGGAAAGGAAGGTTTTAACAAGTTTTATTTATCGTTTACGCGTCTTAACGTGACCGGTGACGGGACTAAAAAGACTCTGTAAAAACTCTATAAACTTCTTTATTTAAATAAAATATATAAGAATCCTTTTATAAGTGGTTACGTATCGTAAAATAGTCGTTTAAGTGAAAGTTTCGAGAACTTTAATACACTTAAATTTTTATCTTTTTTTTATTTCTTTTCTTTTATTAAATTATATTTACGGTCGTTCGATTTCGGTTTTAAACACTTATTTCTTTATATTCTTTCGTTTTTAATTTATAACGGAAACTCGGTTCGGGAAAAGATAATAAAAAAAGGATTTAAAGAAACCACCTCGAAAACGACTAGTAACCGATCGACTACCGGTTATTCATTTTTTCGATAAACCTTTTTAAACGAATAAAAAAAGATTACTGTTATAACGACTATCTTTTTATAAAAGCCTTTTATTACGTTTAAACGTAGTACGTTACTAACTTCGAGATGTTAAGTAACGGAATAAGAAATAAAGTCTTATATGTATTACGATTCAGAATACCTTATAATGGTATAAGTCTTGAATAATAGTATAATATAATATGTGATGAATGATTATTAATTCTGTAAACTATCTATATAAATTTAAGGTCGGAGAAAAGGTTTAATATAGTCGTTATATAACTTAGTTAAGTGGTACGTGACTTAACGTAATACTAGACTCTCGTAAAGGGAGTTTACGTGTAATATTTACCGGACGGTAGTAAAAAATAATTTTCGTTTTTTACCGGTAAATATTATAATATATTACTTAATAAATAAAAAACTTTATAAGAAATAAACGGTAATAACGTATAAAAGGACGGTAGTTTATATTAAATCCGTTAAAAAAATATTATTAAAAAATAAAAGAAATAAACGGAAAAGATAAACGATAATACGGTTTAAATATCGTTATATTTATCTTTATAAACGTTAAGTCTTAAAGTATTAACGTCGACGTAATAGTACGACGTCGTAATAACGTCGTCGTAAACGGTCCGGTTTAATTAAAACGTAAAAAAAGACGGGGTCGGGTAAACGTAACGACGGTTTAAATTTAAAGACGTATTAATAAAGGTAAACGAGTAGTGTTTTAAAGGTTTTACCGAGATTAAAAGTATATTAAACGGTTTAAAAAGACGGTTATATATTATATAAGTCGATTATTAAGTTAGTTCGTCGAGTATTACGTTAATAAGTTTACGAATACTATTACTCGGGTTAAAGTAACCGATAATATACTTTAATAACTATTTAAAATATTTTAAATCTCGGTTACTTTATTTTATAAGATTTACACCGTATTATAAACTCCCGTAACGTTTTTAATTATTTTTTATAAAACTACGACGTTATCGAATACTTAATTTAATAAAGTTTATAATATTTATTAAATCGGTATTAACGTATTAATAAGTACCGTCTCCGTTTTTACTTAAAAAGTGTCGGTTTATTTTTAAATTACTATATTAATAAACGATAACGACTTTTAATTTAAAACGGTAGTTTTTTAAAGTTTATTTAACGGTGTAAAAGACGGGTTTCCTTTAGTGTCGGACGTCGTTAAAAAGTATCGAAAGTCCGTATTAAATAAAATCGTAAATATAAAGACGGGTAAAAGAACGATTTATTAAAGATTTTAATAATTAATACTATTATATAAAAAGACGGGTTTACCGTTTTTTATTATTAATTATAACTTTATTTTTATATACGGAAATATACTTATAACGGGTACGTCGAATAAAGGTAAATTAAAAGACCGGTCGATTATTTTTAATAACTTTTATAATATATTATAAAACCGTAATAATATTAAAAAGTTTTTTAAAAAAAAGGTTACTTTAATACGTATAAATATCTCGTTTTTATACGGTATATAATACTATTTATTACTTATTATATTAGTTATATTAAGTAACTTAAACCGTAATATAACGTTTATAAATAATTTTCCTTTATTAATTAAGAATTTCTTTATAACCGAACGGACCGTTATACGGTTTTAAAGAGTAGTCGGGACTTATTAAATCCGGTTAAAAACTAAATTTAACCGGTCGTTATTCGATTACAAGTCTTCGAAAAAGGAGAGATAAAAACGGTAAGTGTTATAAAAGACCGTTGTAAAGTATACTTTTTTTAACTTACGTTTAATAAGTATAACCGGTATAATAGTCTTTATAGTAACCTAGTTTTAATTATCGGACTTTTCGTTATAATTATCGTAGTTTATATTAATCTCGTTATTATCGTCGTTATTTTTATAACCCGTACTATCGTTTTTATTATTATTACCGATATTTTAACCGTCGTTAACGTTATCGTCGTTATTATTTATAGATTTTATATTAAGGTCGTTTTTAACGATTATAGTTAAGTTAATAACGACTTTATTAACGATTACGAAGACGGTTTAAATAATATTAACGATAAACGTAATAATAACTATTTTATTTTAACTAACGTTTTAACCGGTATTATCGTTTTAAAAGGTTATAGTAATAAGTAAAGATATAAGGTTTATAAAAAGTCTTAGTTTATTATTTTATAAAGTAAAAGGAAGGTTTTTTATATATTATATTTTAATAAAAGAAAGAGTATAGTAAAAAGTACGGGATATTTAAATATTTATAAACGACGTAGTAGTTATATTTTATTTAAAAAGGTACGATAATAAATATACGTTTTTAATAAAAAAGTACACGTATTTAAAAGGTTATAAAGTATATAACGGTAAATAAAAGTTATAATATAAAAGTAAATAAAAAGAATATTTAATAAATAACTTAAAAGGGATTATTTAAAATATAATAATATAAATTTAAGTATACGTAAAAAAAGTAAATAAAAGAATAAAAGATATAGTAAAAGAGTAAATAAAGTATTAAAAAAAGTTTTATTATATTAAATAACCGTATTATAATTATTCGTAATAATACCGAGTAGTATAAGTCCGTTTATTTATAAGAACGATATAAAGTAAAAGTAAATATATAAAGTAAACGGTAATAAATTATATATAAACGGTATTAAAATACTATTATTTTTTATATAATAGTTATTAACGTCTTTATAACGACTTTCGAAACGGTTTAAAAGACGGTGGTTTATTTTTAAGGGTTACCGTTTTAAAACGGTCTTTTTTACCGACGTTTAAGTTATAAAGGTATCGTAGTAGTATTCCGTTACTCGTTCGATAAGTTATCGGTATTAACGGTATAATTATTTATATTTAATACGTTTTATAAATATATTATAATATTAAAGTATACTATATCGTAATCGTTTATTAATTCGTTAATACCGTCGAAAAGTTACTTTTAATTAATAAATTAATCGTTATAATATAAATAATCTAGTTATTTAACTAACGTCGAACTATAATACTTTTAACGATATATACTTAAACGAAGATAATAATACAATAAATAATAAATTCGACGACGAGTCGTTAAAGATTTAAAATAACGACGACTTTAAACCGGATTTCGTTATTAACCTTTAAATATATACGTATATTACTTACTTTTTTAACGTTATTAATAACTTTTAAAACGTAAATCCTTATTAAACTTTATATTACGTACGTAAAGTAACGACGAGATATTAACGATACGAGACT